CCATTCTCTCGACAACAGCCAAAATGAGCTCGGAAAAATAAAGCTGACCATCGTAGAATATATTAGGACACCTATAGCCCTGGCCTGTAACGCTGGATGTTCCCTTTCACAGGTCTCGAACGCCATCTCCTTGGTCCCTCTGCTCCAGCCACACAGGCCTCCTTGCTAGTCTGGAAGCCCTCGTCACCATCCTGCCGCAGGGCCTTTGCACATGCTTTGCCCTCTGTCTGGAACCCCTGTGCTCATACCTGCTCATGTGCCGGTGGCTCCTTCTCATGGTTGGAGCTTGGCTGGAATTCTCAAAGAGGCCTAATGTACCCTTCCTAAGAAAAAAGTTTGTTTTCTTAACAGCATTTATCACTAAATGTATTCTAACAATTGCTTGTTTATCGATTGGATTGTCTCTCCCATTAGAATGTGAGCTCTGGGAGGGCAAGGTCTGTGTCTTGTTCCTCGTGGTGCCTCCCTTGCCTAGCACAGGATGTGGTATGCAGTAGGCACTGAATAAATGCAGTGGAATGAAGAAACAATTGACCCCTTTTAGCCTCATCTCCCATCATTTCTTCCCTTTTTTCCCTACCCCACAGCATTATGTGAGCCCCAGTCCTATGGCCTCTCCCCCTGCACTGACCACACTCCTCCTGAACTCCTTTCCCTCCTCTCCCCTTCCTCAGCTCCCCTGCATCCTCACCCACACACCTGCCCTCCTCTCTCCCTTATCTCTGGACAGCCTTCCTCTTCTGCTGGCCAGCTGCATGATCTCCTTGCTGGTCTGTCTGCCAGGCTAGGCTGTGAGGTCCAGTGCTTGGTACACAGGAGCACAAAAAAAATGCTGTGCCTCTGTAGCCACAAAACAGGAGGCTCCGAGATTCCGAGGTTGCATCAGGGCCTCCTGTCCTCACCATTTCAGGCCCTGCATCTGGGGTTTTCACTTCTCAGGAGTCTCCTGAGGCTGAGAGGTTCAGTTTCTTTGCTGCTCCTGTTCTTCTATCTGAGAGCCAGGACATCCGAGGGGCCCACAGCACTCAGCCAGGGGCGAGGGATGCCTGACACTGGTAGAGGTGTAATTTCCATTTTGCTGCTGCAGAGCTGAGGCTCTACCAGGTCGGTTTCTTGCTCAAAGTCACACAGACACAGCCAGAACTGAGACTCTGTGTGGCCAAATCAAGGGCTTTAGAACCTCTAGGCATAGAACCTCAGATCTAAGGGCCTGGCCAGAGCATTCTCCTGAAGCCAGAGTCCTGAAAGATAGGGACTGCATGTGACCCAGCACTGTGTCCCTACCAACCCTCAAAAAGAGTGCCTCTGTAAACACTTCTGAAATTGATTAAATTCCATCCAAATGCAAGCATCCCCTTCCTGGGGATCTGTGCTTTGGGACAAGGTGTCTGACAGTCTCTCAGCATGTCCTATCAGTAAGCCCTCCCACGGGACCTGCTAAAACCCTATCTTACCCATAGAGAGGCAGAGGGGCAGGAAAGGTTTCTCGAAGCAGCAAATGTTCCCCTCGGAGTTTGGAGCTGGCTGGGCCAGGGTTTTCTGGAGGGAGGAGCAAGTGACTTGCCCAAGGTCACCGTTGGCAAGCAGTCAGGGCTCCTCACTCTGCCCAGGACCACAGCACTGCTAGAAACCAGCCCTGGCCCCTTCAGGCTCCTTCCTCTGTGAGATCTTAATCAGGAATTTTCCATAGCTGCCCCGGGACAGGGCGTGAAGGAATGATGTGAGCAGATAAAGAGCAGCTATGATTTTCGCCAGTCAAATGGCAGTTTAAGAGGGAAAGGAGCGATAAGATCTTCCCCGAGGGCCCCATGGGAGGAAATGAGCAGAGAGAGGCCTCCTCCACAAATCCTCTCCCCCAACAGAGCCAGGGTAGGACCCTCAAGCCTTCAGCCACACTGGCAGATGCCGCTCTGAGGAAGGGCTGCGAATCCCGGGAAGCAGGTAGGGAGGCCTGGGGGTCATTAAGAGGTGCACTGAGAAGATTTAAAAATTAACACACATGGTAAATGTATAAGCTTTGCAAAAAAAAAAAAGTGCACAGTGATGGTAACCTTTGGGGTTTGCCATTGAGGTCCTGTTATCCTCAGCTCACCTCTAGATGCAAGACTAGAGGCCACATGCTGAGCTGGGAGAGCCTGGGGAGTGGCCACTTGCATGGGCCCGTTTGGGGTCATTCTGTCACTGTCAGCCAAGGATTTCCATGGAGCCGCCCTTTGCCCTCTTTGGTTCTTCGTCTCCTTCGTAATTCAACAAGCAGTTGTTGAATACCCATTTTTTCTTTCTTTCTTTCTTTTTTTTTTGAGACAGAGTCTTGCTCTGTTGCCCAGGCTGGAGTACAGTGTTGTGATCTTGGCTCACCACAACCTCCGCCTCCCAGGTTCAAGCGTTTCTCCTGCCTCAGCCTCCCAAGTAGCTGGGACTACAGGCACATGCCACCGTGCCCAGCTAATTTTTTTATTTTTAGTAGAGACAGGATTTCACTGTGTTAGCCAGGATGGTCTCAATCTCCTGACCTCATGATCCACCCGCGTTGGCCTCCCAAAGTGCGAGGATTACAGGCATGAGCCACTGTGTACTGTTTTGTTGCTTGGCAATATCACTGAACAAAATAGGGCCAGATCCCTGCCCTTGTGTGTCTAGCAAGGTGAATGAAATTTCTGTCTCTTCCCCAGAAAAATGCACTGAGGTATGAAAACTTATTCATGATTTTGTGGGACTCCTAGACCCTTATCTTAGAGGTGGACTCCCCAACAGTGTTTGCTGCCCTACCACAGACTGAGCATTTCACCTACCCCTTCTGCCTGGCCCTACAGCTGAGTGGCTACACCTGTGCCCAGCACCTCTGGATGAGGAGTAAGAGGGTCAGCAAGGGGGACAGAGCGAACTTGCCAGGCCTTCCCGTGAGTTCTCAGTCACCCAGTGCTGACTTGCTGTTGGGGGTCATCGAGCCCTAAGGACTTCGAGCACCTTGGAGCCAGTCCTCTGAGGGACCTGTGTGAACTCTGTGAGCCCAGGCCTGAGAGGCAGGGCTAGGGAGGGAGAAGAAGTGTGTACCGCCATGTCCCTCCCAAGGATGACCAGAGCCAGAGCATAAGCCAAGCTCAGATGTCCAGAGCTGGCGACAGCCTTTCTATTCCCTGCCTCCAGGAAGAGCAGCTTATTCTCTAAGAATCAGGTCAGGAATCCCCTCCTCCAGGAAGCCTTTCCTGGCTGTCCCTCCCCTAACCATCCTCCAGGGACATCTCTCCCATCGCTACCCTCACTGCACAGCTAGGCCGATCTGTGTCCACGTCAATTTCCTGAAGGAAGTCAGCCCCATCATGAGCACAGGCACAGAGCCCACCATGTGTGTCCTCGGCTTCTATTGCCATCCATGGCATGGTGGGTGGTCAGTAAGGGTTTACTAGGTGAATGGCTGCAAGACGGAAAACCCTGCAGAGGTGACAAAGAGATCAGTGATTTTCTTGTGAGCCACTAGTACACCCACTCCTGAGTAGCAGACTCCAAGACAGAGGAATGCGTGCAGGGCATTCAACAGGGAGCCTCTTGGGCTTGGTACTTGTGGGTAGAAGGGAAGGAAACAAGGCTGGGCAGAGGGATAAGTCAGTTTCAGTGTATACCCAAAGCCTCAGCTGGGGCAGGGTGCCAGGTCTTTATACCCAGATCCATCAGTCAGTGAATGCTGGCCTCTTGGAGGAAAGGTGACCATAGGTGAGGCCAGATCATAGGGGTTGACACTGAGAGCCCTCACAATAGCTAGGAAAATACGCCCTCCATTTCTCCATTTCTGGCAACACATTAAGTGTGCACTCACTCACTCATCTCTTGAAACCCTGACTCACCTCTTTCATCCCCTGACAGCTCAAATTTCTTTCTTTCTTTTTTTTTTTTTTGAGACTGAGTTTCACTCTTGTTGCACAGGCTGGAGTGCAATGGCGCAATCTCTGCTCATGGCAACCTCTGCTTCCCAGGTTCAAGCAATTCTCCTGCCTCAGCCTCCTGAGTAGCTGGGATTAGAGGCATGTGCCACCACGCCTGGCTAATCTTGTATTTTTAGTAGAGAAGGGATTTCTCCATGTTGGTCAGGCTGTTCTCGACCTCCCAACCTCAGGTGATCCACCCCCCTCGGCCTCCCAAAGTGCTGAGATTATAGGCATAAGCCACCGCACCCAGCCAACAGCTCAAATTTCAACCACTGTCTCCCTGCAATGGCTTTGGCACTGATAGTAACAAGAGTGCTTCTCCCCTTCCACCGTGTGTTCAAGGTGTGGCCTCAGAATGCTGGCAAAATCGAGTCTGACCTGGCCCAGCACTGGGAGCGGGCAACTCCCGTGGAGTTGGGGCGCCTTGTCTGGGAAGGCTTCAGGAGCCGAGAAAGGTGCTGGCTCCCTAACTGACCCACTGACCTCTGGTTTGAAGTTACTTGTAGATATACGGAATGTCTCTGGAGGGACACACAGACATTGGAAGACAGGTTGGAGCTAGAGAGACTAATGTGCGTGTGTGTGTGTGTGTGTACACATCTTTTAAAATGTTATACCAGCTGGGCGCAGTGGCTCACGCCTGCAATCCCAACGCTTTGGGAGGTGGGAGGCCAAGGTAGGAGACTCACTTGAGTCCAGGAATTTGAGACCAGCCTGGGTATCCAGGGTCGGGTGGCTGGGGTGACTTGAGACTGCATCTATACAAAAAGTAAAAACAAATTAGCCAAGCATGACGGTGTGTGCCTGTGGTCCCAGCTACTTGGGAGGCTGAAGTGGGAGGATCCTTGAGCTCTGGTGGTTGAGGCTGCAGTGAGCTGTGATTTTGCCACTACCCTCCAGCCTGGGTGACAGAGCAAGACCCTGTCTCAAAAAAAGAAATTATATAATTCATCTATTCAAAATGACTAAATATTTTTTTTTGAGACAGAGTCTCACTCTGTCACCCAGGCTGGAGTGTAGTGGTGCAATCTGAGTTCACTGCAACCTCCACCTCCCGGGTTCAAGTGATTCTCCTGCCTCAGCCTCCAAAGTAGCTGGGGTTGCAGGCATCCGGCACCATGCCTGGCTAATTTTTGTTTTTTTTAGTAGAGGCAGGGTTTTGCCATGTTGGCCAGGCTGGTCTTGAACTCTTGACCTCAGGTGATCCACCCTCCCAGGCTTCCCAAAACTAAGTAAAATTTTTAAGATCAGATAGTAATATGAGTGATTTTTGAACTCTCACAGAGTAGGGCTCACAGTAGGTTCTCAGGTCACAAGGTTATCTCTAGGATCCCTTAGAGGGCCCCTCAGGGTCCTCTCTGACAACTGTTTCTTCCTGGGTCCTGGCTGGAGATCTCTGCTGCCCCCAGACTCAGAAGAGCCACTCCAGGACTCAGGGCGTGGCTGGCTTTGGGCCAGCCCACCTCTCCAGATCCAAGGCAGGTCTCCTATCTCGGCAATCAAATGGTGCTCTGCCTCCGGCCCCGTCTGGGGACCCTGCTCACCAGCCACCGGCGGTTTAGGCCAACCTCCCCGCCTCCTCCCCAATGCAGACACAGCCTATAAAACCACCCTGTGTGTCCTTGCCGACCCTAGCCCCTCCCTGGACACCCAGGCCACAATGGCAGAACTGCCCGCCACAGAGACGCCTGGGGACCCCACTCTGTGCAGCGGGCGCTTCACCATCAGCACACTGCTGAGCAGTGATGAGCCTTCGCCACCAGCTGCCTATGACAGCAGCCACCCCAGCCACCTGAGCCACAGCAGCACCTTCTGCATGCGCACCTTTGGCTACAACACTATCGACGTGGTGCCCGCGTATGAGCATTATGCCAACAGTACCCAGCCTGGTGAGCCCCGGAAGGTCCGGCCCACACTGGCTGACCTGCACTCTTTCCTCAAGGTAAGTGCTATCTCAGAAGACCAGCCACTTTCCTGCTATGTGATCTCGATCCAGTTACCTAACCTCTCTGAGCCTCGGTCTGTCTTCTGCACTGTGGGGATGGAGGGACGTCTTCCTCCTGGGTGGAGAGGCCCTGGTGAAATAGTAGAGCTACAGAACTCTGGGCATTTGTTGGAATGTGTATTAGCTGAACGCTAGCAACCCAGAGGTAGAGTGGGAGGCCCAGAGAGGTAATGAGCTTCCAGTGAGTAGAAGAGCATGCAAGCAGGTTGCACACCCCTGACAGAGACAGGGAAAGAAGGGCCTGGGAAGGTCCACCTCAGAGAGGGGGCTAGTTGGGTTTGCTGTCTGGGAGGCTGGACTGTGAAGAGTGGAGGACTGGAAGCTGGATTGTCATGACCCCTGCCTGGCCTCACTTTTCCTATGTGACAATTGGGCAGAATTGTTATTTATTTATTTTGAGATGGAGTCTGGCTCTGTTGTCCAGGCTGGAATGCAGTGGTGTGATCTTGGCTCACGGCAACCTCCACCCCCTGGGTTCAAGCGATTCTCCTGACTCAGCCTCCTGAGTAGCTGCAACTAAAGGTGCACACCACCACATCCAGCTATTTTTTGTATTTTTAGTAGAGACAGGGTTTCACCATGTCGGCCAGGCTGGTCTCGAACTCCTGACTTCAAGTGATCTGCCCACCTTGGCTTCCCAAAGTGCTGGGATTGCAGATGTGAGCCACTGCACCTGGCCCAGAATTGTTCTTGATACTGGGGCTAAGACTGACTAAATTCACAGGACTTTTCCCTACCTTAGAGCAAACCAAAACATGTCTCTTTGCTCCATACTGAGATTAAGTGCCAGGAAGAAAGCCCCAGAGGAGGGCGTCAGTCACTTGGGGCACAAACCAGGAGACCTCCCAGTGCCACAGAGGTAGAGCCTGGTTTCAAGATCCAGCCCTCCAGGGACCAACTGTGTGGCCTTGGACAAGCTTTAATCTCTCCAGGGTGATAATAATCCTGTCCCCCGATATAAAGCTGGGTAACTGCCTAATTAGTTCCAAGGCCACTGCTCTCCCAGGGGGAGGCACTGTCATGACCATGAGCACCCAAGGCTCTCAGTCTCCCGTGGCATCTCATCTCAGCTCACTGCAACCTCCACCTCCTGACTTCAAGAGGTGGATCCTCCTATGTCAGCCTCCTGAGTAGCTGGGACTACAGGTGCACACAACTGTGCCTGGCTAATTTTTGTATTTCTTAGTAGAGACAGGGTTTCACTTTGTTGCCTAGGCTGGTCTTGAACTCTTGAGCTCAAACAGTCCACCCACGTTGGTCTCCCAAAGTGCTGGGACTACAGGTGTGAGCCACCATGCTCGGCCTGGGGAGCATTTTAAAAGCCCCTCAAGCAGCTCTACACCCAGCGAGCTGATGGGTCAGGGGGTGCCCAGTATGGGGTGCAGTGGTACAGATCAGTGAGCTGGATACAAAGATGCCATCCCTAGCAACGCCTCCTGCCTGACTCGTGGTCTCTGGGCTGCCAGCAGGAAGGCAGACACCTGCATGCTCTGGCCTTTGACAGCCGGCCCAGCCACGAGATGACCGATGGGCTGGTGGAAGACGAGGCAGGCACCAGCAGCGGGAAGAACCCTGAAGAGCCTGTGCGCTTCGGCTGGGTCAAGGGGGTGATGGTGAGTGGGGTGTGGGTAGGTGCTTGATGTCCAGAAATGGGAGGGGAGGCAGAGCTCCATCCAGGCTCAGCTCTGACTCTCAAGCCCTGGTGGGGCTTCAGTTTCCCCATCTGTACAGTGAATTCAGTGAGTTAATGAATCAATAGATAATAGATCAATGCCTGCCAGGGAGTTATTAGAAGAAACTGTGTTTCCCTAAAAAGCCACCAGGGGGCTGCACTAAACACCCAAATCTGCGAACGTGTTTTTCCCCTCCATGAAGGGAAGAAAAAGGTTTCTTGTGTGGAGCGGGATTAAGTCTCCAGACAGTAAAGAATCAAGTACACTTGGCTTTGGAGACATTATCGGACTTTACAGAGGGGACCTCATGGGATGTCGAAGGCTTTAGCCCTGCTCTGGGAGGCAGGAGGCTGGGGTTCTGATCTTAACTGACAACTGGCTGTGCCTCCATTTCTCCTTCTGAACCTTGAGCCCCTCCTGATCCCCGGAGGCTATATTCAGAGCCAGGATCTCTCTCCCGGGCTGTGTTGTCAGAGCTCGGAATGGCCCTGCAACTTGGTGGGGCCAGCGACCACCCCAGCCCCTCCCAGTTGGAAGCTTCAGCCTCCATTTCGGCTTCTGGCTTTGCTTTAAATTTGGAAGCTGAAGTCACAGCCACCTGAGCTCTGATATCTGCTCATACATGGGGCACTGGCTCAGCTGGCATTTGCTGAGCTCCCTGTAAATGCCAGGCTCTGGGTCAACTGCCGGCCACTCGGGCCATGGTGGGGGCTGGCAGACACAAGATCCCAGGCTTGCGATGGATAGAGTGATGGATGACAGTGCTCGGAGCCCAGTGTCAGGCCTCAACGGGAGGGCAGGAAAGTAGGTGAGAGGGACAGGTGGGTCTCCAAGTGCCTCTCACCCTCCTGCCCCATAGAACCAGACTCAGAACCTATTGAAGTGGGTGAAGAAGAGACCCAGGTGTCCCCAGGGCCTAGGTACTCGACTCGAAACCCTGCCATAGCCAGGGACAGGGACCTGTGGATTTAGCCTTGGAGTGTACACTCAGGTGGCCTCTGACCCCCCTCTTTTCGCAGATCCGTTGCATGCTCAACATTTGGGGCGTGATCCTCTACCTGCGGCTGCCCTGGATTACGGCCCAGGCAGGCATTGGTGAGTGCCCCTCTGGGGTAGAGGAGGGAGGGCATGCCTGAACCCTGTTCTTCTCAGGTCCCGAGGGTGCAGGATTAAACCTGAGCTGCACAGACCAAGGGTCAGGCATGATCCTCTCTGGTGCAGCCTGGGGCCCCTGCAGTGACAGAGGCATGCTATCAAGGTGGCATGGCAGAGGCACGCTGGACATGGTATCAGCAGGTATAAGGGCTGTTTGCCCTCGGTAAGCCACTTAACCTCTCGAAGCCCATTTTTTTCCAAAAGCATGCAGGTTAGAAAGCTGCACTCTGGCCAGGCACGGTGGCTCACACCTGTAATCCCAGTGCTTTGGGAGGCCAAGGCAAGTGGATCACGAGGTCAGGAGTTCAAGAGCAGCCTGGCCAAGATGGTGAAACCCTGTATCTACTAAAAATATAAAAAATTGGCAGGCACCTGTAATCCCAGCTATTTGGGAGGCTGAGGCAGGAGAATCATTTGAACCCACGAGGCAGGGGTTGCAGTGAGCCAAGATTATGCCTCTGCACTCCAGCCTGGGTGACAGAGTGAGACACCTGTCTCAAAAATAAAAATAAAAATAAATAAAGCTGCACTCTGGACAGAGCAGGGCTCAGATGCTAGCTCTGTACCCTGCTGTGTGACTTTGGGCAAGTTTCTTAACCTCTCCAAGCCCTGGATTCCTCATTAGAAAAATGGGGGTGATAACAGAACCTACCTCACAGAGCCGTTGTGGGATTTATATGATGCAGGTAAAAACACAGCACAGATTTGGCTTCCAGAGCTGATCATGGGATGAGACTGCTACTTTATTTTTTATTTAAAAAAAGGTAGCTTCCCCTTCATACCTAACAATCCAATAAATGCTGGTTCAAGGGCTCCCTGGCTTTTTGGAGTATGCCAGGAGGTAGATAGACGCCCATTTTTCAGATGAGAAAACTGAGGCTCAGAGAAGGGAGGTGAACTTAGGTCGCATGGTGAATGAGTAGGCAAACAGCTCCTCTCCCGGGAAATGCCCTGACTAAGCTTTGGGTGTTCCCCGCAGTCCTGACCTGGACCATCATCCTGTTGTCAGTCACGGTGACCACCATCACAGGCCTCTCCATCTCGGCCATCTCCACCAACGGCAAGGTCAAGTCAGGTGGGTCATTGCCCTTCCCACCAAGGTCCTCCTCTCGTGGTCTCCTCATCCTGGGAACAGGACTGCAGACTGCCCCAACCCAATGGGACACCCCAGCCGCTCCTGTGGTTCCAGGAGAGGGCTCTAGACAGGCTGTCTACAACATGAGATGGCTTCGGCTGTCTCCTACCCCGTGGTTCCCATGGTTACTCTCTCCTGGCCTCTGCCTTCCTGAGTCTACCCCAGCCAACTGATTCCTCTGGTTTCATGCTTCCCGGCTCTGCCCTGATAGGTGGCACCTACTTCCTCATCTCCCGGAGTCTGGGCCCAGAGCTCGGGGGCTCCATCGGCCTCATTTTCGCGTTTGCCAATGCCGTGGGTGTGGCCATGCACACCGTGGGCTTTGCAGAGACCGTGCGGGACCTGCTCCAGGTGAGGCCAGGGGCTGGACCCTGGGTAGAGGGATCCAGCAGCCCACTGCACTCTCCTCCACCCCATCTGGGCTGGGCCTGCCTGCTCCCTGCCTGACTTCACCCATCAGCAACCACAGCCTGATCACTGTGGGTGAGAGTGACAGTCTCATCAAATAGAGACCATTCCTTTCCCACAAGTCCCCTTTGGGGGTGTGTGTTGCCTTTAGGGCTACATTGTCCAGGCCTGTGCAGCAGCTGCTTTGGGGACTCGATGGCAGGGGTGGTGCTTGAGTTAGCTCCGTCTTAGCAGAGCGCACCCCACAGGAGGTGCCTCCTAGGTGGGCGGAGTCTGGGGGATGGGGAGTTCAGAGCATGGCTTACAGCCTGGCCCATTTTCCCTCCCCAGGAGTATGGGACACCCATTGTGGACCCCACTAACGACATCCGCATCATTGGCGTGGTGTCCGTCACTGTGCTGCTGGCCATCTCCCTGGCTGGGATGGAGTGGGAGTCCAAGGTGAGGAGGACATGGAGGAGGGGGACATGGAGGTGGTTACGTGGAGACTCGGGAGTCTCCAGGCCTGGGCCCTCCTGGGTCCTCTGCCTTTTCTTTTCATTTTTTTGGAGACAGAATCTTGCTCTGTACCCAGGCTGGAGTGCAGTGGTGTGATCTTGGCTCACTGCAACCTCTGCCTCCCAGGTTCAAGTGATTCTTGCGCCTCAGCCTCCTGAGTAGCTGGGATTACAGGCACACGCCACCATACCTGGCTAATTTTGGTATTTTTTTGTAGAGACAGGGTTTCACCATGTTGGCCAGGCAGGTCTCAAACTCCTGACATCAGGTAATCCACCCGCCTCAGCCTCCCAAATCTCTCTCTCTTTTTTTTTTGAGACAGAGTCTCCCTGTTGTTGCCCAGGCTGGAGTACAGTGGTGCAATCTCAGCTCACCGCAACCTCCACCTCCCAGGTTCAAGCGATTCTCCTGCCTCAGCCTCCTGAGTAGCTGGGATCACAGGCGTGTGCCACCGTGCCTGGCTAATTTTGTATTTTTAGTAGAGACGGGGTTTGACCATGTTGCCCAGGCTGGTCTTGAACTCCTGACCTCAGGTGATCCACCTGCCTTGGCCTCCCAAAGTGCTGGGATTACAGTCATGCGCCACCACCCCCAGCCCAAAGCTCTTCTTACTTTAAATTCATCTTCCTTATTTATCAGCCAAGACAAGAGGCTTTGGTGGTCTTGTTCTCTGCTATATTCCCAGCTCCTTGAACAGAGCCTGCTGCATAATGTGTGTTGAATGAATGAGTGAGTGAATAATGGGGTGACGGGTCTGGGCAAATCATTTTCTGGTGGAGCTTCCCAAAGAGGTAGAACCAGACTATTTGACCTCTGGGGTCCTTCGCCCGCCAGGCCCAGGTGCTGTTCTTCCTTGTCATCATGGTCTCCTTTGCCAACTACTTGGTGGGGACGCTGATCCCCCCATCTGAGGACAAGGCCTCCAAAGGCTTCTTCAGCTACCGGGGTATGTGCAGATCAGGGCCCTGACCATGGCTCTGGGGACAGGGACTCTCTGCCCAGGAATCTGGCTCATGGACACTGGGAGGATGGGATTCCCCAATCCCATGATCAAGGACTGCCTGCCCAGCGGGTCCCACCGAGTGAGGGGTCAAGCCCTCCACATGAGCCTTACTCAGGCCTTGCTTTTGCAGGGGACATTTTTGTCCAGAACTTGGTGCCTGACTGGCGGGGCCCAGATGGCACCTTCTTTGGAATGTTCTCCATCTTCTTCCCCTCGGCGACAGGCATCCTCGCAGGGGCCAACATATCCGGTGACCTCAAGGTGAGAAGAATACCCATCCATCCCATGTCCCAGCACCGCAGTGGGCAGTGAGCAGAATCCTGCTCCCTGCTCTACTGGCATCTGCCTCTGGGCACTGAGACCCAGGAGGCAGGGCTTCTAAAATCCAGTCCAGTCCTACTCAGCTCAGTTCAACCCAGTCCAACCAATTCTGTTCCATTCTGTGGTTGTTTATGAAGACCAGCTGCATTCTAGGTTTCGAGGGGCACTGCAAAACGGCTAGGCTCCTCCCTAGTTTCCGGAACTCTCAGTCTCAGGGGAAGACTGGCCCAGCTGTGACCTTAAGAACTCAGGCTTGTTCACGCACATCTTCACCGGGCTGACATCCTCCCAGGGCTCTCCATTGCCTTGCTGCAGGCAGGCTTCTCAGCTCGGCATTCAAGGCTCCAGCCCATCTGTCCAGCCTCACCCCTGACCAGTGCCACCCTTATGAGCCTGCTCCAGCCCTGAGACTGTTGCTTTGCCCACGTTACCCTGTCCCTCCTCCACGCCTCCGCTTGTGCTGCGCTCTCTACCTGCAATTACCTATGCTGGCTTTTTTACCCTCAAAGTTCTGTTCTGCTTCCCTTTCTTTCTTTCTTTTTCTTTTTTTTTTGAGACAGAGTCTTGCTCTGTTGCCAGGTGCCAGGCTGGAATGCAGTGGCACAATCTCGGCTCACTGCAACCTCCGCCTCCCGGCTTCAAGCAATTCTCCTGCCTCAGCCTCCCAAGTAGCTGGGACTACAGGTGCATGCCACGACACCCAGCTAATTTTTGTATTTTTAGTAGAGACGGGGTTTCACCGTGTTGGCCAGGATGGTCTTGATCTCTTGACCTGGTGATCTGCCCACCTCGGCCTCCTAAAGTGCTGGGATTACAGGCTTGAGCCACCGCGCCCGGCCCTTCCTTCCTTCCTTCCTTCCTTCCTTCCTTCCTTCCTTCCTTCCTTCCTTCCTTCCTTCCTTCCTTCCTTTCTTTCCTTCTTTCCTTCTTTTCTTTCTTTTTTCTTTCTTCTTCTTCTTTTTTTTTGAAACAGAGTTTACCTCTTTTTGCCCAGGCTGGAGCAATGGCGTACTCTCGGCTCACTGCAACCTCTGCTTCCCGGGTTCAAGCGATTCTCCTGTCTCAGCCTCCCAAGTAGCTGGATTGCAGGGGTATACCACCAAGGCCTGGCTAATTTTTATATGTTTTAGTAGAGACGGGATTTCACTATGTCAGCCAAGCTGGTCTCCAACTCCTGACCTAAAGTGATCCACCCGCCTTGGCTTCCCAGGAGTGCTGGAATTACAGGCATGAGCCAGGTCTTTTTGTTTGTTTGTTTGAGATGACGTCTCACTCTGTCTCCCAGGCTGGAGGGCAGTGCAGTGGCGTGATCTCGACTCACTGCAACCTCTGACTCCCAGGTTTAAGTGATTCTCATGCTTCAGCCTCCAGAGTAACTAGAACTATAGGCACTTGTCACTATGCCTGGCTAATGTTTGTATTTTTTTCTTATGTTTGTATTTTTAATAGTGACGGGGGTTTCACCATGTTGGCCAGGCTGGTCTCGAACTCCTGACCTCAAGTGATCTGCCCTCCCAAAGTTCTGGGATTACAGGCATGAGCCACTGCACCTGGCCTGTTTCAAATACCTCCTTCAACTATCATCTCCACCACCCTTCCTTTAGCATCATGGTTTCCCCAGCAAAATGATGTCTGGCCAAACATATCTGTTGCCCGGCATCTGGAGAACTGAGGCTTGCCTCCATCTCTCTATTCCCTCCCAGCTCAGAGCCTGGCACATATTAGGTGCTCCGTACATGTTTGTTGACTGAATCGTGGTGAAATGCAGTGTTTGAGCAGTAGCACAAAGTGCTGCATTGTGGGGGAGAAGGAGAGACTAATGCTGGCAGGGGCTCTAGCAGAATTTCTGGGTGCAGGAGGCTCCAGAGCTGGGTTTTGAAAGACGGTAAGCCAGTGGAGGCTTTGCTCAAAGGAGGTGGCGGGAAAGCGAGGGTGATGAGTGGGGAGCTAGCCCCATGCTGGACACCACAGCTAACCCCCACCCTCAACCTCCAGTCGCTCCTTGACGCATTTTCTTAAGCAAAGTAAGAACTGTGCGTTGTGCTGGACACAGTGTCTCATCCCTATAATCCCAGTACTTTGGGAGACTGGGACAGGTGGATCACTTGAGGTCAGGAGTTCGAGACCAGCTTGGCCAATATGGTAAAACTATGTTTTAATCTCCACTAAAAACACAAAAATTATCTGGGCGTGGTGGCAGGCACCCGTAATCCCAGCTACTCAGGAAGCTGAGGCAGGAGAATTGCTTGAACCCAGGAAGTGGAGGTTGCAGTGAGCCAGAATCGTGCCACTGCATGCCAGCCTGGCAACAAGAGTGAAACTCCATCTCAAAAAAAAAAAAAAAGGAAAAAGAAAAAGTAAAGAAAAGAACTGTGCATGGAGGCGATTGTGAAGCCAGGCTGGCTTTAACCAGCCTGGAAATTGCAGAATAGCTGTTGGTCGGCTCCTCTCCTTTGTCTGGGGAATGGCTGACAGAGGCCTGGTCTGCCTGCCCTGAGGTCCCGCAGAGGATTGGCCTGTGCTCAGACAGCCTGGATTCCAAGGAGCCTCAATCTCCATGCCTCATCCAGCTTCTTAGGTTATCAACCGGCTGACATCAGCTGTCTGGAAACTGGGTGGGGCTGGCACCCGCACTCTGTCCTAAATGGTCCCAAGCCTTAAGGGTCCCTTGGCTGTTGGATGGCCTCACCCATCCTGTGGGAGCATCCTCAGCAGCAGAGCCACCATGTGTGGAGCCTCCACTGTGACACTTTGGGCAAGATCCTTTAAAACTCCCTGAGCCTCAGCTTCCCCAATTCTGAAATGGGAAGAGTACAGCCCCCACACTGCAGGGTGGTGGGGAGAATTCCACGCGATAATTCATGTAAAATGAAGTACTTAGAACAGTGCCTGGCTCGCAGGAGGAGCTAAGAGCTTCTTGTCATCATTGACATTTTTACCATCATATAGACAAGCAAGCCAAGGTCATAGAGGTTCGGGGGCCTGCCCAGGACTACACAGGTGGCAGAGAAGCCTGAGTGCCAGTTTCTTTCCTTTTCTTTTTTTTTTGAGATGGAGTTTCACTCTTGTTTCCCAGGCTGGAGTGCAATGGTGCAATCTCAGCTCACTGCGACATTCAAGGGATTCTCCTGCCTCAGCCTCCCAAGTAGCTGGGATTACAGGGATGCGCCACCACACCCAGCTAATTTTGTGTTTTTAGTAGAGACAGGGTTTCTCCATGTTGGTCAGGCTGGTCTCAAACTCCTGACCTCAGGTGATCTGCCTGCCTCAGCCTCCCAAAGTGCTGGGATTACAGGCGTGAGCCACGGCACCCCACCTGAGTGCCAGTTTCTAAAACAGAAAGACCTCAACTGAATCACAATTTCATCATTCAACAAATATTTTTTGTGTAGCCTCAGGCCAGGTCTCTATTCACAATACTGCCCCACCCCAACAGCTCACATTTGTGGGCACTTGTCACATGCCAAGTTATTTGCTGATTTCACAGATGGGGAAACTGAGGCGCTGGAATGTTAAGGGGCTTCTCCCAGTGCACACAGCAGGGAAGAGTCTAACTTGGTTAAATTCCCAGGCAGCAATCTCAAAGGCAGGCACATCCAGGTCCACATCTCAGCCCACCTCTACCCAGCTCACCTCTTCCTCGCCCACCTCTTCCCAGTGCATCCAGGGGCAGAGATCTCAGATTCAGATGCAGGAGGCAGGGTGGGGGTTGATGGCTGACATATTTGTGTTTTTACCACCAGTTGGGTGCCTTAAAAGCAGACTTATATTCTCTTCCAGTTCAGGAGGCTCAAGGTCCGGAACCCAGGTGTTGGCAGGACCAAGCTCCCTCTGAAAGCCCAGGGGAGAACCCTTCCTTGCCTGTTCCTAATTTCTGGTGCTTCCGACAGCGGCTCTCCTTGGCTGGCAACTGCATCACTCCAGTCTGTCTCTGTCTCGCGTGGCCTTCTTTCTTCTGTGGGTCCTTTCCTCCTAAGGACACCAGTTGCATGCAGGGCCCACCCTCATCCAGTATGACGTCATCTTCACTAATTGCACCTGCAAAGATTCTATTTCCAAATAAGGCCATATTCTGAGATTCCAGGTGGATGTGAATTTTGGGGGACACTATTCAATCCACTAGAGGCAGGGTGGGAGGCTGGTATGTTCTGTTGGCTTTGGGACTGGGGACCCCACGTGCATGGCCCAGTTGAGTCAAACAGGTATACCAGGTGTAACAGGCAGGGCTGGCAGGTCCACGGCTGCAGGGGCCTTGCAGAGCCCTGGGGTGGAGACTCCACCCAGGGCCCTGGGAGGCTGAGGCAGAGAGAAGAAAATTCAACAGCTCCACACACGGGCCACAGAGGGAACTTGGCCAAGGCTTGGGGATCCCAGCAGACCTGGGCTCCAGAGACTCCAGCTCCTCACCTCTCCTCCCTCAGGCCTGCCACATCCTCCCTCCCACCTCCTCCTGGCAGCCTCCCCCGCAACCCTAGTTTGACTTGCTTTTAATCTGTGGCTCCATCTGTTAACTGGATGGTGTGCAGAACAGCCCAGGGAAGGCTGGGGAGGTTTAGAAATTGACATCCCGTGGCAGGCCTGGCCTTTGGCTCTGGGTTGGGTCTGTGCCTGGAGGGTGAGTAGGTCTTAAACTTGCTGTAAAAATCCTAGCCTGTGTTGCTGCACCCAGGACCAGTCCTCGGAGCCTGAGGCTATGAACCTTGATGTGGTCAGGGCCAGAGCTTGGTCTTCCTCATGGCTCTCTGCCCTCAGTTTCCCCACCAGCTGAGCCAGGCTGCCCAGCCCACTTCTCAGGAAATTACATTTGAGAAAGTGCCTAGAAGAGGGCAACACGTGGTATGTTCATGAAGGCTTGTTATCACTGTTAAGAAAATATGAGCAGGACAGGCTCAGTGGCTCAAGCCTGTAATCCCAGCACTTTGGGAGGCTGAGGTAGGTGGATCACTTGAGGTCAGGAGTTCGAGACCAGCCTGGCCATAACAGCAAAACCTCGTTGCTACTAAAAGTACAAAAATTAGGGCACCTATAGTGGTGGTGTACACCTATAGTCCCAGGTACTTGGGAGGCTGAGGCAGGAGAATCACTTGAACACAGGAAGTGGAGGTTGCAGTGAACTGAGATTGTGCCACTGCACTCCAGCCTGGGTGACAGAGCAAGATTCTGTCTCAAAAAAAAAGAAGAAAGAAAATACGAGCAGAGATTTCTTTCCCAGAATGGAAGGAGAAAGTCTGGGGCATATCCTATTTATTGTTGAGGAGCCAGACAAATCAATTGGTACATAATGATTGACTATGCGGTGAGGGCTGGCGGGGAGGGAAGTGCTGGTCCAGGATCTCAATGTGGATTAATTTATTTCACCAACATCCCTGACAGATGAGGGGCTGGGGCGTGAGAACACAGCACCCTGTCCTGCTGGCCGCCTGGAACTGATCCTGGGCAGGCCGACTCCAGAGCCCACCACCTTGCCCCCACCCTCCCCACCCTCAAAGCAAGCCCTGGCCAAGTGCCCTCACGGCCTAGGCGTGGAGCTGTTGAATTTCTTCTTTCTGCTTCCATCTCCCAGGGCCTTGGGTGGAGTCTTCACCCCGTGATCTTGGTTGTTTCCCTCTGTGTCCTCAGTCATGAGGCTTCTTCCTCTGTGCTGGAACGGGGGCTCTGAGGGGCCAAGGTCAGAGGTTGCTGTCCCCAGCCTCAGCCTTAGACAAGGGGCATGGGCCTGGAAGGAGGCCCAGGGGTTGTCTGATGCCTGCCCTCCCTCCCTGTCTCCCTCTCTTCCTCCCTCCTACAGGACCCTGCCATAGCCATCCCCAAGGGGACCCTCATGGCCATTTTCTGGACCACCATTTCTTACCTGGCCATCTCAGCCACCATTGGTAAGTGGCCGGTCCAGCCAGTCAGGAAGGGGAGGGACCTGGTCTCCACCCTGCAGTGTCCAAACCCCAAACCACCGGAGGGGATCAGAGGGTGGGGTTTGACTCTCTAACAGGGAGAGCTGGGCTGGGAGGGTGTGGTGATCTCAGGATGTGGAACCTTGAACCTGTCTCTGGAGTATCTTGGCAATGATCAGAGCATCTTCCTGGCGGTGGGTGTGGTGGGGTCAGACCAGGCTCCTTGGGTTCCTTGAGAGTCCAGATTCATGAATGTGAAGATCCTACAGGACAGATCCTGCTGCAGCCCTAGGAGTGATGATGATGATACCCGCAACTGACTCATCACGTGCCCAGACCTTTTCATGCCAATCCCATCACTGTCATTTTCCCTGTTTCACCAAGGAGAAAACAGGAGCTCAGAGAGGTTACATGACCTGCCTGGGGACACACAGCCACTGAATGACGGAGCCGGGCTTTGAGCCCAGGCCTGGGCTGTTAACACATGCCTTGAACTGAGATCCTCACAGGTGCACTTGCTCCCAGAGGTCCCCTTTGAGGCAAGCTGTTCAAAAATGGCCAAGGGACTTGGCCCAGCTTATCTCAGGAGGACATTGTGATCTTGGTCGCTTAAGCTCTCTGGGCCCCTGTACAATGGCAATGACAACAAAAGTAATAGTGATGCCTGCTCCTAGGTTGTTGTAAAGTACTTAGCATGGCGCCGGGCACACCGTCAGCACACTGCCATTGTCATCATCCCTGCATGATGAAGGGAGGGCTGCCCCTCATCCGCAGCGTCTCACCGTCTGCAGAGGTGGGGCTGGAAGACGACCGAGTAAAGAGGGACGGAGACCTCCCCATGCTCTCCTTCTCCCTCTCAGGCTCCTGCGTGGTGCGCGATGCCTCTGGGGTCCTGAATGACACGGTGACCCCCGGCTGGGGTGCCTGCGAGGGACTGGCCTGCGGCTATGGCTGGAACTTCACCGAATGCGCCCAGCAGCACAGCTGCCACTACGGCCTCATCAACTATTACCAGGTACCACCAGGAGGGCTGACCCAGCAGACACAGTGAGGCTGGGTGGAGGCTGCAGGGCCCCTTGCAGGCCTGGAAATTTCTGGGGGACTAGTTTGGGGAGCTGAGCCCTAGGCTTAGGGGATAAGGGTTCAGAGTCCAGGTCTGTCTAGTCCTGGCCTGTGAGTGGACCCTGGGATCTCCAGGGGTGGGTTGTGGACTCAGATGGAGGCTCAGGGCCCAGCCTCTGCCTCCAGTAAGGAATGAGGTGCCACAGTTGGGGGCTTCTGGCTCAGCCCCTCACCATGGAGTCCCTGATCCCCAAATCCCTGCAGACTATGAGCATGGTGTCAGGCTTTGCGCCCCTGATCACAGCCGGCATCTTTGGGGCCACCCTCTCCTCTGCCCTGGCCTGCCTTGTCTCTGCTGCCAAAGTCTTCCAGGTGAGGCCACAGAAAGGGATCAAGATGATGGGGGGTGGGAAGCCTAGGCTAGAGGCACAATAGGCTGGGACCCTGAGTGACTGCTATAAAGACCTGGAGGTGTCATTAGACCGGGATCTCTAGCCAGAAGGGAAAAGGAGCTATCAGCAAACTCTTGAAGGAAGCAGCCCCCTCCCGGCGGTGACTTGAATAACACCTGCAGTCCCCACCCCAAACTCCCACCTGTGCCACCTGCATCCTGTCCGCAACTCCACCATTCAAGCTGTACCCGGAGCCATCCACCCAACTCGTTGTGACCTTTTACCGTCTTCATGGTAGAGTGGGGAGAGTGGAGGAGGGGAGATCATCCCTGTTGAACAGAAGCAGACACCAGGATCCAGGTTGGGGAGGGCGCCAAGCTGGTCTGGAGCTCAGGTGGCCCCAGGGGAGGGGAAGTGGCAGGTCCCAGCCTGGGGGTGAGTGCGGCATCTGGTGCTGCAGTGCCTTTGCGAGGACCAGCTGTACCCACTGATCGGCTTCTTCGGGAAAGGCTACGGCAAGAACAAGGAGCCTGTGCGTGGCTACCTGCTGGCCTACGCCATCGCCGTGGCCTTCATCATCATTGGTAAGGCGCTGCCAGGGCTCACAGGGCCTGGCCCCCTGTTCCCCTGGGCGGCCCTGAGGGTCATGGGGGCCGGGCTCTTCTCCTACCTCCTCATCTCCCCGCACCAGTGCCCCGCTAGGCGTGATAGTTAGTGGGCACTCAGAGGCTAAGTCTTGAGGGGTGAGGCCCCACCTGGGAGGAGACATTGGGGGGCCATGTGATCCTTCCCCTTCCCACCTCCAGGCAGGGTGGCTCCCAAACCAGGTCAGGCAGCAGAGCCTTCTGCTTTGTTAGAAGGGAACCTACCTGTTCTCCCGGTCTGCTAGCATCCCACCAGGTCTAAATGAACCCCCAGAACGCCTTCAGAGCATGGAACAAGCTGACTGGCCCCTCCTTGGGATGGGTACAAATGGCTGGTCAGTATCCTCATAGGTATATAAACTAGACAAACCCAGTTCCTCAGACCTCGGACTTCTAGACTCCTTGGGTTTCAAGGCGGAAGATGCCTTAGGAGAAAAGGGCCCAGGTAATTGGTTCATTAGATGAACTTCCTATCCAGGCTTTGCCACGTGCCAGCTGTGTGACCTTAGACAAGTTACTTCACCTCTCTGAGCCTCACCTTTTTAATCTACAGAATGGGAGCAATAGTGCGTAACAGGTATATCTCAGAAGGGCAGGAAGAGACCACGTGTGCAGGAACACCTGCATGCATTCACGTACGCACACTACACATGCACACACCTGACGCTTCCCTCATTAACTCAGCCATGGTGGCAGAACTCGCTAGGAAAGAGGTGGCCATGCCAAGCATGGGCAGTGGCCAGGCTGCGACATGATGGCCCCCGGCCCCCACTCCCTGTGCAGGAGTGGGGTCTGGGAAGACTGCTGGTCAGCCTCCCTGGGCTCATGACACCCTCCTGACACCAGTGACTCTGCTCTTCAGGCTGGCATCACAGTCCATGAGATTTGCCTAGTCACTATTACCCAAGGGAAGCTTTCCAGACACCAGACACTGCTGGGTCCTGAACCACATGGAGAGTTGGCAGGGATGGAAAAGTCTGTTCAGACTTGGTGTTCCCTGGCCCGGTGTCTGCTTCCTGCTCTCTGGGGCCCAGAAACACATTTCCCTGCAATGCACCCTGATTTAGATTCGATGTCCTTTCATCTGGGTGGGTCTGACTTGACTTCAGACTGAGGACCATGATCTCAGATGCTTCGGGAAGGGTTCTCAGGTGATTACATGAAATCATGGACAGAGGACATGGCACATTGGTGCATATAATGTTTTGGGATCCCCTGAGACAAGGATTCATATGTAAAAGTTTATCTGGGGTGCTGGGGGCAGTGGCAGGGGAGGGGAACAGGGAGACGGGAGAGGAAGCAGTTCTTGGGTGGGTTACCACCGGGGTGGAGCTGTGTTATGGCCTTTGGTGTCCTGAGTCACATTGCAAAATGTATTTCTGGCCAGGTGCAGTGGCTCACGCCTGTTATCCCAGCACTCTGGGAGGCCGGAGGGGGCAGATCACTTGAGTTCAGGAGTTTGAGACCAGCCTAGCCAATACGGTGAAACCCCGTCTCTACTAAAAACACACAAAAAATTAGCCAGGCACGGTGAAACACACCTGGCCAGAAATACATTTTGCAATGTGATCCCAGCTACTCCGGAGGCTGAGAAGGAAGAATCTCTTGAACCCAGGAGGTAAAGGTTGCAGTGAGCCGAGATTGCGCCACTGCACTCCAGCCTAGGCAATGAAGCAAGACTCCATCTCAAAAAAACAAAAACAAAAATTAGCTGGGCATGGTGGTACATGCCTGTAATCCAAGCTACTAGAGAGGCTGAGGCAGAAGAATTGTTTGAGCCTGGGAGGCAGAGGTTGCGCCACTGCACTCCAGCCTGGGCAATGAAGCAAGACTCCACCTCAAAAAAAAAAAAAAAGTATTTCTTACTGTAATTGTGGTCAAAACAGTGTGACAGCCACTACTCTTGATCATCCCATAGTCTGATGGGGTCTACTCTCACTCTGCCCCCACCAGTGTCTTAAAGGCTGGGGGCTTACAGTTTACACCATTTCTTTGAGCTTCACAAAAGGACAGACCCATTTCACAGATGAGAAGGTTGAGACTGACTGAGACTTAGTGACCTGTCTGGGTTCCCCACTGTGGGATGGAGGGTGCCAAGCCACTCTGTGGCAGAGTTGCCCAACAGGCTGTCCTCTCTCTCCCTGGGTCCCTGAAGCTGAGCTCAACACCATAGCCCCCATCATTTCCAACTTCTTCCTCTGCTCCTATGCCCTCATCAACTTCAGCTGCTTCCATGCCTCCATCACCAACTCGCCTGGTAAGCAAACCCATCACCTCACTTCAGGAGGAGGCACCCAGGGGCTGGGGGGTACTGAATCATGGGGTGGGAGTGGGAGGCATGGGTGGAGGTCAGTAGCCCAAGATCACCTCTCAAATTAAAACCAATGAAAGGGAACATTCATATAGTAATAGTGGCTCTCTGCCGGGAGTGGTGGCTCACACCTGTAATCCTAGCACTTTGGGAGGCTGAGGTGGGTGATAACTTGAGGTCAGAAGTTTGTGACCAGCCTGGCCAACATGGTGCAACCCTGTCTCTACAAAAACACAGAAATTAGCCGGGCATGGTGGCAGACGCCTGTCATCCCAGCTATTTGGGAGGCTGAGGCAGGAGAATCACTTGAACCCCGGGGGCAGGAGGTTGCAGTGAGCCAAGATCATGCTATTGCACTCCAGCCTGGGTGACAGAGCAAGACTCTGTCTCAAATAATAATAGTGGCTCTCCTTTCTCAAGCACTGACAGTGTGCACGTTACATGAATTCATACGTTGTTTACCATCTGTAGGGATTTTCCAGTCTTTTCCTTCCCCAGTTTTACAGGAATCAGGAGTCTGATTCCTTAGAGAAAGAGAATTGCCCAAAGTCACAGCTAGGGCTGTCACATACAGTGCTGCAGGTTGCACACTGCACAACTCTAGGAGGCACGATTCATATAATCTATTTCACACATTTGCATATGTATGATGGAATACTTCTGGCAGATGGCAATAAAGAGTCTTGAGGAAGACTTTTTCTAACTAGCTCCAAATTACCATTGCCTTTTACTAGGCCACTTTTCACATAGACCCCAGTGTGCACAATGGGCTTGGAGTTGAGCCATGAGGCAGCTGTCACTCATGGCAGCCCTAGCCTGGCCTGCTGGCGAGGAGCCAGGCAGAATCATGCCCTTCCCCGTCCATCTCACCCCCTTGGCACCATGGGAGCTGGTGCTGTTGCTGGCATGGGGTGTCCTGAGGCTGTATTTGGCCAGAGCTGGACACCCACTCTTTGGCACAGCCTGTGGACATGGTGAAATACCAGCCAAGATAGGTGTGTAGTTTGCCCCAGAGCCTGCAGACCCAGCCCCAGGAGGAAGGGTGGGTGGTGCTCATGGCTGGTGGGTACATGTTGGGACCCCGGCTCTGGGCACTGCTGGCATTACTGCCAGGCCCTGCTAGCAGCTTTGGCCTAGAAGGAGGCTCCAGAGTGCCAGGACTGCCCGCTGACTGGTGCCCTTGGCCCAGGGTGGAGACCCTCCTTCCAATACTACAACAAGTGGGCGGCGCTGTTCGGGGCCGTCATCTCCGTGGTCATCATGTTCCTCCTCACCTGGTGGGCGGCCCTCATCGCCATCGGCATGGTGCTCTTCCTCCTGCTCTATGTGATCTACAAGAAACCAGGTGTGTGTCCTAGCTGTGGGGTGGTGGCCCTCCTCCCCCAGGGTAGCCATGCAGGTGGCCCTGCCCTTCACCCCCACTACCCCACTAGAGGGCTCTGAGTCGGGCTCTGTGCTATCTAGGGCCCCTCTCTGGCCCTCGCCCTCATCCCTCCCCATGTGGCAAGGAACCCCAAGGGATGTCCCCACTCAGGGCCCATGCCTCAACTTCTAAGCCACCCCTGGGCACTCAGGACCTTGGAATCCCCTGACTGAAGGACCCTGAGTGAGCTTCCAGAGCCTGCTCCTGCCTCTTCCCAAGGGCTGTCCCCCAAGAGGGGCTGGCAGGCTGCTGTGCACACCTAGGCCTCAGGGGTGGCTGAGGGCTGCTGTGTGGATGCAGGCAGACAAAGCTTGGACTCTGGGCAGGGGCTCTACTTGGCTGCAGGCAGGGACCCTGGGGTGGCAGCAACCTGAGGGCAAGAAAGAGATCTCTGAGAAAGCCTGGGATTCTAAGTCTCAACCTGGGCGTCTAGGCCATTGCAAAGATTTGGCAAAGCAGGAGGATATTGTGTGGAGCTTGATGTATAACTTTTTTGCGGGGGGTTGAGGGACAGATTCTCACTCTGTTGCCCAGGCTGGACTGCAGTGGCATAATCTCTGCTCACTGCAACCCCCACCTCCCGGGTTCAAGCGATACTCCTGCCTCAGCCTCCCGAGTAGCTGAGATTATAGGTGCCTGCCACCACACCTGGGTAACTTTTGAATTTTTAGTAGAGTTGTGGTTTCACCATGTTGGCCAGGCTGGTCTTGAACTCCTGACCTCGGTGATCCACTCACCTCGGCCTCCCAAAGTGCTGGAATTGCAGGCGTGAGTCACTGTACCTGGTCTTAATGTGTCACTTTTCAGCGTGCAGCCACATGGCCTGCAGGCCTCTACCCTGCAGGCTGCCCACCCCAGGAGGCCCTGCTCCCACGGGTGCTGGGTGCCTAGAGAGGGCTGACATTGCCTCCATCCCTCCATGTGTCTGGTTTCTTCTGGTGATTCCTAACACTGCTCTTACCCCACTGCTCCCTTGCTCCCCAGAGGTAAACTGGGGCTCCTCGGTACAAGCCGGCTCCTACAACCTGGCCCTGAGCTATTCAGTGGGGCTCAACGAGGTAGAAGACCACATCAAGAACTACCGGTGAGCAGAGCCGCCGGGACCCACCTAAGACCTGGGGGCTGGTGATGGCCCCACCCTGGCATTTTCCAAGCCTAGACCTGTCACCTGCCCTGGACAGACCCAGGGTGTGTGCAGCCCCCACTCAGAGAGGGAACAGAGGTGGAGGAGCCACCCAGCTGCCAGGAGACAGGGGTGGACATATCATGATGGGGACCAAGCCAGTCAAGGGACCTCTCTGTGCCTCGGTTTCCACAGTGGAAGCATCTCTGTTGTGGAGGCAATTGGTGCTGCAGTTCCCATCACAGTACCCTGGGGGTGGATGGTGTGAGCCTCTCCTGAGTACCCTTCAAAGCTGATTCCCCTCTTTCTTGAGGAGAATTATGCACCTGCCATCCCCTTCCCACCAGATATCTAGTAATTATTGGCAATATCTGTTTATGTCATGCTTGCTATGAGCCAGGCACTTGCAAAGTACCTTACACAGCCTTACGACAACCGGCTGAAGTCCAGGAATTACTAACCCAGTCATGGACAAGGACACTGAGGCACAGAGAGGTTAAGTAACTGGCCACAGATCACACAGCTGGCAAATGGCCGATTAAGTCTGGCTCCAGTTGACTCAGGTCGTGGCCCTTGACCACCGCCCTCTGCTGCCTCTTGACGCAGAGGCTGAGTCACCTGCCTGGGTAACTGGTGAGTTTGTAAGTGACAGGCTTCCTCACTCCGCGCTGGGCTAGGCCAGGGAGGGGAGAAGCACTGGGGGAAGCGTTTGGTGGCCTGAGCAGGAAGGACCAGGGAGACTAGTGTGGAGGCCACCAAAAGAACGGGAAGGGCCCGAAAAGTCACCCTGGATTTATAGGCAGGAAGTCTAGGCCCCAAGCATGTAGGGTCATGTTGGTGGCCACATCGCTGTTCAGGGAGCCTGGGTGGTGTCTTTCGCACCCAGCCCCCTGTGGGCTCTCTCCTGATGGCTCCTGTCCTTTTCCCTTCCCTCCTCAGCCCCCAGTGCCTGGTGCTCACAGGGCCCCCAAACTTCCGCCCAGCACTGGTGGACTTTGTGGGCACCTTCACCCAGAACCTCAGTCTGATGATCTGTGGCCACGTGCTCATCGTGAGTGACCCCTGGAGGGGCGCAGGGCAGTACTCCTGGGGGAGCCACCGGGTGTGATGTCCACCCATGGGGTGGGGACCGAGGGGATACAGAGCAGGGGGCGCCCAGCCAGGCCCTCCCGCGGACCCGTTCTCTCCCCGTCCTGGCCTCTCTTGCTGGCTTTTCCCCAGCTGCTCTGCCTCTTTACCACTCCCTACCTCTCCCTTCCTCCCCTCTTTCTCCGCACTCCTTGTCCTTCCCTTAAATGATCAAAGGAAAGGGGCACCATGGGTGCTGCTGAGCCCCTGGGGCAGCCTCCAGGGCAGGAGAGGTGCTGAATCTCAGGCCGGAGGGTGAAGGCAGCTGTCAGTGTCCCCTGCCCCTCCCTCCCACAGGGACCCCCCAAGCAGAGGATGCCTGAGCTCCGGCTCATCGCCAGCGGACACACCAAATGGCTGAACAAGAGGAAGATCAAGGCCTTCTACTCCGACGTCATTGCCGAGGACCTCCGAAGCGGTGTCCAGATCCTCATGCAGGTGCCGTGGGCTGGGGCTCCCCTACAGGACTTACGGCTCGGTGAGACAACCTGGAAGGCAGAAAGTCCTGCGGACCCTTTGTTTAAGCCCCTTTTGCTGCAGAAAAAGCCCCAACTGTTTTTTTCTTTTGAGACTCGTTTTGCTCTTGTTGCCCAGGCTAGAGTACAATGGTGTGATCTCAGCTCACTGCAGTCTTCACCTCCCGGGTTCAAGCAATTCTTCTGCCTCAGCTTTCTGTGTAGCTGGGATTACAGGCACATGCCACCGCACCTGCCTAATTTTTTTGTATTTTTAGTAGAGATGAGGTTTCACCATATTGACCATGCTGGTCTCAAACTCCTGAACTCTGGTGATCCACCCACCTCAGCCTCCCAAAGTTCTGGGATTACAGGTGTGAGCCCCAACTTTCTTATGTCTCCAGATGTGCTGATTCTGGGCACTTTCTTGGATTGCCCAGGACCTGGGAAACTGATTTGAAAGCCTGTGGGGGCTGGCGTCACCTTAGCCAGTTCTAACTTTTGGGAGCTCTGGGAGGGATGTAGGGTGTTGGTGATGGAGAACCAGAATCAAGGATTCCTGAATTCAGATATTTCCGTCCATCAGCCATCTTTTCCCCAATGAAGTTCTGTTTTCTGCAAAACAAATTTTTTTAAAGATACCTACATACAGAGAGAGAGAGAGAGAGAGAGAGAGAGACAGGGTCTTGCTCTGTTCCCCAGGCTAGAGTGCAGTGGTGTGATCTTCACTCACTGCCAACCTCTGCCTCCCTGGCTCAAGCAGTCCTCCCACCTCAGCCTCCCAAGTATCTGGGACCTCAGGTGTACGACACTATACCCAGCTAATTTTTTTTTTTTTTTTTTTTTTTTTGTAGAGATGGGGTTTCACCACTTTGCCCAGGCTGGTCTCAAAGTCCTAAGCTTAAGCAATCCACTTGCCTCAGCCTTCCAAAGTGCTGGGATTACAGGTATGAGCCACTGAGCCCAGCCTAAGATATAATTTATATAAAGTAAAGTGAAAAAACATTACCTATATAGCTTGCTAAATATTTGAAGTAGGCACCCCCCAGTGGTAGACATCACCCAAATTGAGATCTCAAAATTTCCACTGGACAATTCATTTTACTGCTGTTTTATCATGCATTAAATGAGATGCATGGATAAAATACGTTTTTAATCCCAAGCCAACATATGAGAATCTTTTTCAATAGTTTTAAATATTTATCATGTTTTTAAGAAGCAATTCAGCTTCCTTTTGGGGTTATGACAATATTTTGAAAGTAGATAGAGGCGAAAGTGTTAGAAATGTACTAAATGCCACTGAATTGTACACTTTAAAAGGGTTGATTTTTTGTGAATTTTGCCTCAGAAATTTTTTAAAAATTTAACATAAAAACCAGAGAAGCTGAGAGTGGGCTCATCCCTGTAATTCCAGCACTTTGGGAGGCCAAGGCAGAAGGATCCCTTGAGGTCAGGAGTTTGAGACCAGCCCGGCCAACATGGTGAAACCCCATCTCTACTAAAAATACAAAAATATAGCCAGGTGTGGTGGCACAGGCCTGTAGTCCCAGTTACTGGGGAGGCTGAGGCATGAGATTGCTTGAGCCCAGGAGGTGGAGGTTGCAGTGAGCCAAAATCGTGCCACGGCACTCCAGCCTGGGGGACATGACGGGACTCTGTCTCAAAAAAAAAAAGGAAAAAAAAAAAAGAGAGAGAAACATAAATGATGTGTGGATTAGATGACCCGGTAATACGCCAGGCGTGGCATCCAAATTCAAGTCTCTTATGGGAAATTAATTCGTTAGAGAAGTAGGAGCTGGGATCATCTGTAACCATGGGACACTATAGTCCTTGGCCAAGGATTGAGACGCCATGGCAGGCAACTTTGTCTGCAGCTTCACCTTTCTTCTGGGTGTGTCCAGGCAGACAGGACCCCAAATAGGGGGATGCATCTCCTGAGCTCCCAAAGCTTGTGTGGGAGGGTGGCTGCGGCTGAGACAGAGCCCCGCCCTAGTCACAGAGCACAGCCCTTTCTGGACCTAAGTCCTGATCACTAACTGTTCTCTGGCGGGTCCCCCATCTCACCCCTATGCCCTGGCAGGCTGCAGGTCTCGGGAGAATGAAGCCCAATATTCTGGTGGTCGGGTTCAAGAAGAACTGGCAGTCGGCTCATCCAGCCACAGTGGAAGACTACATTGGCATCCTCCAGTGAGTTGGGGGAGGGGAAGGGGCTTGGGATCTGTTAATTTGGGCCACTGGGCCTTGAGAAGTGGAGAGGAAGCAGTGGGCGCTTGAAACGTTGAGTCCTGCTGGGCAAAGTGGCTGGCATCTGTAGTCCCAGCCACTTGGGAGGCTGAGGCAGGAAGCTCACCTGAGCCCAGGAGTTGGAGGCTGCAGTGAGTGATGATTGCACGGCTGCACCCCAGCCTAGGTGAAAGAGCAAGACCCTGTCTTTGAGAAAGAAGTTCCATCCATTTGTTCAAAGCTGAAGAAGAAACAGGCTGAGGCTGAAAATGCCCGTCTCTGACCTATGAGTCAGGGACACCAGAGCCAGCAGGGATCAGGCAGGTAGCACTAAAAGTGAAGTGGGCCAGGCGTGGGATGATAGGGAGCAGTGGAGACTGTGGTAACTCCAGGGAGAGTGGCTGCTACTTGGCTGTAGCACAGGCAGAATGGGCTCTAGCGCCTAGGCAGAAATGTGAGCCCAATATTGCCAAATCTTTAAATTTTTCAGAGTAACTGCAAATGTGAGTTTTCAGGTGAAAACCTCATGCCTCCCTGTGGGCTTCATAAGGTACACAGGTAACCAGCTCGAGCTTTGAGGCTGGCTGGGCATGGTGGCTCACACCTGTAATCCCAGCACTTTGGGAGGCCAAGGCGGGTGGATCACAAAGTCAGGAGTTTGAGACCAGCCTGACCAACATAGTGAAACCCCATCTCTACTAAAAATACAAAAAATTAGCCGGGTATGGTGGCACACACCTGTAATCTCAGCTACTCGGGAAGCTGAGGCAGGCGAATCGCTTGAACCTGGGAGGCGGAGGTTGCAGTGAGCTGAGATCGGGCCACTGCACTCCAGCCCAGGCGACACTGAACAGGGAAGTGAAACCAAGCCCTGAGGACCAAACTCCCTGGGATGTCCGGGCTGACTCCAAACTCTTCTTCAGCTTGTGCTGTGTGAGGTCCAGAGAATGCCTGCCTGATGTGTGGCTTTTCTGTGTTGATGTCGTCGTGTGCGGTGTCAGTGAACATGAGGCTGAGGGTCGGGCCCTTGGGACCCGCTTCCAGGTATGCTGTTAAGCAGCTGTAGGGCTCAGAGCAATCCTGTCGGCTGCTGCTAACAGAATTACAGCAGCAGTTGGTCTCTAGCCTCCCTCCAACATTCCAACATTCCAAAACTTCAAAAAGCAGGGCCTGAAAAGTCCTTGTCCCAGAGATATGTGATCTAAGGAGCCCAGGGAGGGCAGCACACAGCCCATTGGCCCAGACCCCAGTGGTGGGTGGGCTCTTGGGCACTGTGTCAGTCAGGCAGTTCATACACCTTTGGAACAAGAGTCTTCCAGACATCTTAATTTTATTTATTTATTTATTTATTGAAATGGAGTCTTCCTCTGTCACCCAGGCTGGAGTGTGGTGGCGCAATCTTAGCTCACTACAGCCTCCACCTCCTGGGTTGAAGCAATTCTTCTGCCTCAGCCTCCAGAGTAGCTTGATTACAGGTATACTCCATCACGCCCTGCTCATTTTTGTGTTTTTAGTAGAAATGGGGTTTTGCCATGTTGGCCAGGCTGGTTTCAAACTCCTGACCTCAGGTGATCCACCTGCATTAGCCTCCCAAAGTGCTGGGATTGCAGGTGTGAGCCATCATGCCCAGCTTTTGCAATTTATTTTATTTTTATTTTTGAGACAGAGTCTCATTCTGTCGTCCAGGCTGAAGTGCAAAGGCATGATCTCAGCTCACACCACAACCTCTGCCTCCCAGGTTCAAGTAATTCTCCTGCCTCAGCCTCCTGAGTAGCTGGCACTACAGGCGTGCTCCACCACGCCCAGCTAATTTTTGTACTTTTTAGTAGAAACGGGGTTTCACCATGTTGGCCAGGCTGGTCTGAACTCCTGACCTCAGGTGATCCTTTCACCTTGATCTCCCAAAATGCCAGGATTACAGGGGTGAGCCACTGCCCCTGGCCTCCAGACATCTCTGTAGACAGCCTAGTGCATGAGTGAAGCTCTTCTCACGAGCATGCCTGTCCTCTGGCCTCCAGTCTGAGCCATACGATTCTAATCCCAGCTACTCATTCTCCTAGCTGTGTGACCATGGACAGGTTCCTCTCCAAAACTCAGTTTTTGCATCTGTAGAATGGGAGTAATAATGACCATCCCCACCTCTAGGGGCAGACTCATGGTGATTATCCAAATGTATCAGGAGGACAGGGCTGACTTGGTTTCCCCGAGAACCAGATCTGCAGGTCCACAGTGTCACAGTCTGTAGAGCTGGAAGAGTCCCAGGGTGCTCTCCAATTCTGCCTGTACATTATACAGATGGGGAAACTGAGGCCTGGAGAACCGAAAGGGTGTGGTAGGAGGCAGAGCCAACTCTAGACACCCAGTCTCCTGGGTACCAGGTCATCTCCTGGGTGGGAGCTGGTGGAGAAGCTGGACCTCACCTCCTCTCTTTCCAGCGATGCCTTTGATTTCAACTATGGTGTGTGTGTGATGAGGATGCGGGAGGGGCTCAACATGTCCAGGATGATGCAGGCACACAGTGAGTACATGCCCCTCCCACTCAGCACCCCTGTCAAAAACTGGAACAGCCCAAGGTGGGGATGAACTTGGCCTATTTGAGGGGCAGGAGGAGGCCAGGTGCAGCTGGAGTGTGAGGAGCCGGGCAGGAGGCAGGTCAGAGGGGAGCCAGGGCCAGGTGCAGTGGGGTCGTGGAGGCCAGGCGGGGCGTCGGCACTTTCTTCTTAGCATTAAGGGAGCCCTGTCAAGGAGGAACCCACTGTGGCCTCAGACGAGGAGAGCCTGTGAACCATGCTGCCCCTTCTTTTGCAGTTAACCCCGTGTTTGACCCAGCGGAGGACAGCAAGGAAGCGAGTGCCAGAGGTGCCAGGCCGTCAGCCTCTGGCGTGTGTCAGTGTTCCCCTCACAGCTCAAGGCACTCTCGCCCTGTGGGGCAGCTAGGGGCAGGCCGCCAGGGAACTTGGTGGAGTGGTGGGGTGGTTTATTTTACCTGAGTAACTGGGGTTGGGAACTGGAGGGGCTTGGCTGTGTCAAAGATTGCCAGCAGCCAGGCGCAGTGGCTTGTGTCTGTAATCCCAGCACTGTGGGAGTCTGAGGCAGGAGTTCCAGACTGCAGTGAACTATGACTGCACCATGACATGCCAGCCTGGGTGTCAGAGTGAGACCCGTCTCAAAAAAAGGAAAAAAAAAAGATTGCCAGGAGGTGAAGAATTCAGGGTCACGGCATCATGGAGGTCCACCCAGCAGGCTCTGGGGCCCTCGTCCCCCTCCTGCCAAGGCCCTTCTAGCCATGCAGGGTGGGGTAGGGTTTTCCTTCGTCCTCTCCCATGGTCACCCCAGGAGGCGGGGGCCTGCAGTGCAGGCGGGAGGGCTCCTGTGGGCATCTGTGAGGGCATAGGAGGATGTTTAAGAGAAGGGAGCGTATACTTCCCTACCTACCCAGAGGGCTCTGTCCCCACCCCCGGTACTCACCAGAATCCTGGGAGAGAGGCTGAGAGCCGGGCAGGGGCACATCACAGCACAGAGTGACCTGGGCCGAGGGTCCTGGTCCACCTGCCAGAGAATCCGTGTTCAGCCTCAGAAGGGGTGTTGGTGGGGCCCTGGGCCAGGCCTGCCCAGATGTGCTGCAGCTGGTTCTGCTCTGACCCACCCCCACCTCCTGCAGTGGACCCCAAGGCCCTGGTGCGGGAGGAGCAGGCCAGCACCATCTTCCAGTCAGAGCAGGGCAAGAAGACCATCGACATCTACTGGCTCTTTGACGACGGAGGTCAGTTCCCTGCTCGGATCAGCCCCCCTGCCTGAGGCGGGGGTCTTTCTTCCCTCTCCTTCCTGGCCTGCTCTCAAAGGGGACGGGGGCTCCTGGGCCCACCAGTGAGCTCAGGGGAGCCTGGAGGGACCCCTCTGTCTGGCCTCTAGTTTTTTGGTTATATAATGGGAAACTGAGGGAAGAGCTGAAGTCGCCATGAGCTGGAACTTTCTGACTGGATGGTCCTCAGGGGCACAGGCAGGTGATATAAACAGGGAGGTGGGCTGGTGCCCAGGAAAGCTGTAGGAATATTTTTCACTTCACAAGGAAGTATATCCTCTCCCATTAAAAAAAGGAAAGTGACTTTCAGCTTTATTGCTCCTACCTTTGACAGAGACATAGATAGAAAGAAAGGTCGTTGCTCCAATGGAATGCGATCTATTCGTAACTGCTGAAATAGGCTGAGTACTTACTACCTGCCTGACATGGAATTCCCTACCTAATGCAGTCCCAGGAAGGAGTTGTCAAGATTAATCCTGCTCTATACATAAGGAAACTGAGGCACAGGGGATTATGAGGTGATACATGACAGCTGGTTCTTGGTCTTGTGTGGAGAGATTACAGGGAGGGATGAGGGCTCCCCATGCTGGTCAGGTATGCCGTCTTCAAGAACTGCCAATGACTTCGAGTTTTATGTGAAACTCCTCAATTATTAAATGCCAGCTTTTTTTTTTTTTTTTTAATTCTTTTTGAGACAGAGTCTCGCTTTGTCTCCCAGGCTGGAGTACAATGGCACAATCTTGGCTCACTGCAACCTCCGCCTCCTGGGTTCAAGCAATTCTTCTGCCTCAGCCTCCCGAGTAGCTGGGACTACAGGCATACATCATAAAGCCCAGCTAATTTTTTGTATTTTTAATAGAGATAGGGTTTCACCATGTTGGCCAGGTTAGTCTTGAACTCCTGAGCTCAGGTAATCTGCCTGCCTTGGCCTCCCAAAGTGCTGGGATTACAGGCATTAGCCATGGCTCCCGGCTGCTAGCTTGTTTATTTAAATACACTGCACAAGCCAAATAAACCCTACCCCACAGAGTACCATGTGCAACTTGGGTTTAGTCAGCCGTGTTCATTATACAGATGGGTCGACTGAGGCCTGGCGAGGAGAGGAAGAGGTTTGCTAATGGCAGAGTGGGGCAGGAACCCACATAGCGCTCTTTCCTGAGTGTACTCTCAACGTGACTCTCCGGGATTCTCCTTGCCAGGCCTCACCCTCCTCATTCCCTATCTCCTCCGCCGAAAGAAGAGGTGGAGCAAATGCAAGATCCGTGTGTTCGTGGGCGGCCAGATTAACAGGATGGACCAGGAGAGAAAGGCGTAAGTGCAGAGGGCCGGCCTGGGGGCTGCAGGGACCATTGCCAGCTTAGCTCCACCTGAGGCTGCCCTCCACCCCAATCCTCTACCACCACCCCTAGGTGGGTTCTGAGATTGTCCCAAAGCCCAGGGCCAGTTCTCTCCAGGCCACTGCAGTGGGCAGGAGCAGGAGCAGGAGCAGGCTTGTCTCCCTTCCAGAAGTTGTTCTGGTTTTCTTCCTCCTTCAATAAAATGCAGATGCCCTAGGCTTTAGGACGACAGGGAGGGGAGTTAGGTTGTAAAGTCGCAAATCTCTGGGTTTGGACAATGAGAAACATAAAAATAAGAAAGAAAAGGGATCTACCTTTAAAGTAAAAAAAAAAAAAAGACAAGAAAAATTGAAAACAAAAAAAGACAAAAAAGAACAACAACAAAAAAAATCTCCTCCAGGAGGAAGCTGTATGAAATGAAGGACAGGCTGGGCACAGTGGCTCACATCTGTCATCCTAGCACTTTGGGAGGCCAAGGCGGGTGGATCCAGGAGTCCAGGAGCTCGAGACCAGCCTGGTGACATGGCAAAACTCTGTCTGAATATTTTAAGTTTTTTGTTTTTTTTTGAGATGGGGTCTCCCTCTGTCACCCAGACTGGACTACAGTGGTGAAATCCCAGCTCACTGCAACCTCTGCCCCCTGGGTTCAAGCAATTCTCCTGCCTCAGCCTCCCTAGTGGCTGGGAATAGAGGCGTGTGCTACCATGCCCATATAAATGTTTTTTGTATTTTTAGTAGAGATGGAGTTTCACCATTTTGGCTAGGCTGATCTCGAACTCCTAACCTCAAGTGATCCCCCCACCTCAGCCTCCCAAAGTGCTGGGATGACAGGCGTGAGCCTCCGTGCCCAGCCAATATTTTAAATTTTTATATAAATATTTTACACATATTAAAATTTAAAAATATATATAATGTTTTGAAAAAAGGAAAAGAAGGATGGAGAACACGCCTCCTCCTGAGTAATGAAGTAGGGGCTGGAACCCTTTAGTGCAGCAGTCCCCAACTTTTTGGCACCAGGGACAGGTTTCATGGAAGGCGGGTTTTCTACAGGCTGGGGAGAGTAATGTTTTGGCATGATCCAAGCTCATTACATTATTGTGCACTTTATTTCCATTATGATTACTTGGTAATATATAATGAAATAGTTACACAACTCCCCATAATGTAGAGTCAGTGGAAGCCCCGAGCTTGTTTTCCTGCCACTGGATGGTCCCATCTGGGGGTGATGGGAGACAGTGACAGACCATTAGGCATTAGATTTCATAATGAGTGTGCACAGCCTAGATCCTACAAGAGAGTTCATGGCCCTCTAAGAGTCTAGTGCCGCTGAGGAGCTGACAGTAGTCAGAGCTCAGGTGGTAATGCAAGCAGTGGGGAGCAGCTGTAAATACAGATGAAGCTTTGTTCACTGCCATGCACCCAGTTCCCACAGGCCATGCCGGTACCTGTCAGCAGCCTGGGGATCAGGGGCCCTTGCTTTAAGGCAATGTTCCTGATGCATGGGATGCAGGCTCTGGAGAGACAAGAGGTGACTTCAGTGGCCAGGGGATGAGGCAGCAAATACCACTGAGTCTTTTGATAAGAAGTAGCTTTTAATTCTCCTCCAATTCTGGGGCTGATTTTGCAAAAGGTCCTGGCTTAGCCCTGGCCTGTCCTGTTTGGTAACCTGTGCTTGGCTCCCTGAGCAAGAGGAACAGGCTGGATGCATGGGCTTGGCGGCAGTGGCATCTGGCCAGAACAGTGACCCTGGTTCATCTACGTGGGTTTTATTGGTTACCTCTTCCTGGCAAGAGGTGCTGGTTTTCTGTTTATAATTGTGACATTGGCTGGGTGCAGTGGCTCTGCCTGTAAATCCTGGCACTTTGGCTGTAGGCCGAGGCAGGAGGTGGCTTGAGGCCAGGAGTTTGAGACCAGACTGGGCAACATAGTGACAGCCTGTCTCTACCAAAAAAATAAATAAATAAATAATAAACTGTGAATGGTGCCATGTGCTTATAGTCTTAGCTTACTTGAGGCTGAGGCAGGAGGATCACTTGGCCCAGATCAAGGCTGCAGTGAGCTGTGATGGCACCACTGCACTCTAGCCATGGTGATAGAACAGACCTTGACTCTGTTTTTTAATAGTAATAAAAATAAAATAAAATATAAATAAATAAATAAAATCATGACATAAAATCTGCCTTTGAAATATATCTAAGTTTGGGCCAGGCGTGGTGGCTCATGCCTGTAATCTCAGCACTTTGGGAGGTGGAGGTGGGTGGATCACCGGAGGTCAGGCATTCAAAACCAGCCTGACCAACATGGTGAAACCTCGTCTCTGCTAAAAATGCAAAAATTAGCTGGGTGTGGTAGTGTGTGCCTGCAGTCCCAGCTACTCGGGAGGCTGAGACGGGAGAATTACTTGAACCTGGGAGGCAGAGGTTACGGTGAGCCGAGATTGTGCTACTGCACTCCAGCCTGGGCGACAGAGCAAAACTCTGTCTCAAAAAAAAAAAAAAAAAAAAAGGTAAAGAAATGTATCTAAGTCAGAATGTGAGTTGATTTAAACAGAAAAGGAAGTAAATGGTAAGGCAGGTGGCACACGGGTGTGGAGCTGGCAGGTGTCGGCAGGTGGAATTGGGCAGCTGCTGCTTTGAGCAAGGTCAGGTGAGGTGGGAGGGGGTAGGCTGGAGGTCTGCTGAGGGTATCAACAGATGGGGCAATTTGCCCAAAGTCATGCAATTAATTAGCCAAAGAGAAGAACCCCTGCTTGGTCTGTAGTGCCCTTTGCAACCATCCTGGCTCTGATGCCCCAGGGTCAGGGTAGAAGGGGATTACCTGGCCTACACCGCCCAGTCCTATGCCAGGATGGCCTCCTATGCCAGGATGGCCTCCCATGCCCCATTCTCTAGCCATCCAGTGTGAGTTAAGAGAAACCCATAAATCCCATCTCTTTGTCCTCACCCCCACTGAGAATTTCTTCCCTGAAAACCCCTTTTCAGCAATGTTAAGGAAAGTGTTGCTTGGGAAAAGCAGCATCTGACTTCTCTGTGATCTCCAAAAAGTAAATAAGCCATGAGATTGCTGTGTTGTCTCTGCTTCCTGTCTGGGCTCTGAATGGAAGCTGAGTTTAGTAGATTTGGTTTAGCTCAAGGCTACGGCAGCCTGGGCTAAAGGCATGTCCTTGGTGGGAAGGTTATGAAAACCCTTCCTCTGCCTCCCTCTGTCCCTTGATGGGCCACATCCTTTGCTCTCTACATAACCCTGGAGCAGGTCTATCCTTACCTAGGCACTGGCCAGGTCTGCCAGCTCCCGCTGTCCCCGCACACCATTTGAATCCACCCACGGCTCTGCTTTCAGAATTTCACTCCCCAAGGCCAGGCGCCAGCAGCAGCTTGACCGCTTGGCCCCAGCCTCGTCCTCCAGGCTTGTCTCTCATTTCTTCCTCTCTCCTAGCACACTCCATGCATCCCAGCCAGCTCCTCACTGCCCTGCTCCACCCCCTGCACCCCGACGCCTTCCCTCATTTTAACTGTTCCCTACCAACCAGTCCCGTGGTCCCTAACCAGGCTGGCACATCAGAATCACCTGAGGCATTACCCAAACCAGGTCCTTCCTAGGGGTTCTGACTCAATGGTGGGCAAGGGGGTGGGGGAAGGCCTAGACAGGTGTGTTGTTTTTTGTTTGTTTCTTTGTTTTGAGACAGAATCTTGCTCTGTCGCACAGGCGGGAGTGCAATAACACGATCTCAGCTCACTGTAACCTCCGCCTCCCGAGTTCAGGCAATTCTACCTCAGCCTCCCGAGTAGCTGGAATTATAGGTGTGTGCCACCACACCTGCCTAATTTTTGTATTTCTAGTAGAGATGGGGTTTTGCCATGTTGGCCAGGCTGCTCCCTGCTCTTGAACTCCTGACCTCAGGCAATCTGCCCACCTTGGCCTCCCAAAGTGCTGGGATTCTAGGCCTGAGCCACCACGCCCAGCCGGTATATCATTTTAAAGGCTCCTTGGGTGATTTCAGTGTAGACATTCCCCTGCCCCACCTGCTTTGGCCTGTAACAATCTTACCCTTCGTTCACCATCCAGCCAGACTGCCACCTCTGTGAAGTCTTCTCTGACTGCTACAAACCACAGGTCAATCCTCTCCATTGACCTTCCCTGTTAGATGCACAGTCGGTGCTGTCTGGCTTGTCACTCCTGGTTCTGTACCGAGTTTCTCCTATGTTATCTTTGCTTCCTCAGCCACTCCAGAATTTCCTTTATTCGACTTTCCTATTCCTTAGAATTTTCCTACTCAAAGTGTTGCCTGTGGACCAACAACACCGCATCCCGTGGGAGTGTGTTGGACATGCAGAATCCCAGGCGCCACTCCAGACCAACCGAATCAGAATCAGCATGGTAACAAGATCCTCAGCAGATGCATAGACATGTGAAAATTTGGGGTGCGCTAGTACAGAGATGTCCGCCAGATACTTGGGAAAACCTTGTCAATTACGTTTCTGTTTCACTTCTCATCATCTAACCCATTTTATGAGTATTCGTTTCCTGTCTGCCCCTACCCCAGTGTTCTACGAGGGCAGGCTTTCTGTTTTCCTTACTGCTACGTAGTCAGTAGGTGCTCAGTAAAAATTAGCTAAATGAGGCCGGGCGCAGCGGCTCACGCCTGTAATCCCAGCACTTTGAGAGGCTGAGGCGGGTGGATCACAAGGTCAAGAGATCGAGACCATCCTGGTTGACAAGGTGAAACCTGGTCTCTACTAAAAAAAAAGACAAAAAATTAGCTGGGCATGGTGGCGCGTGCCTGTAATCCCAGCTACTCAGGAGAGGCTGAGGTAGGAGAATTGCCTGAACCCAGGAGGCGGAGGTTGTGGTGAGCCGAGATCGCGCCATTGCACTCCAGCCTGGGTAACAAGAGCAAAACTCCGTCTCAAAAAAAAAAATTAGCTAAATGAATAAATACATTTTAAAACTCTCAGGCTGGGCCTGGTGGCTCCAACCTATAATCCCAGAACTTTGGGAGGCTGAGGCAGGAGGATCACCTGAGATCAATATGACAATACACTGTCTCTACTAACAATACAAAAATTAGCCAAGCATGGTGGCACACACCTATAATCCCAGCTACTTGGGAGGCTGGGGCACAAGAGCTGAGATTGCACCACTGCATTCCAGCCTGGGAGACAAAGCAAGACTCTGTCTCAAAATAATAATAATAATAATAAACCTCTCCATGTTTCCTTCAGGATCATTTCTCTGCTGAGCAAGTTCCGACTGGGATTCCATGAAGTCCACATCCTCCCTGACATCAACCAGAACCCTCGGGCTGAGCAGTAAGTTCTGTGTTGGGGCTTCCAGGCAGAAGGGCCAGCTGTGTGCCTACAGACCCCTCTGCCAGCTGCCTCCTTTCTCCTTGCTAAGCTAAGAGCAAAGGGCTCTCCCCCGAGCCCTTCCTAGATGTGTCAGAGGGCACAAATTCTGCAGTGGTTGTGGCCGGGACATGTCCCTTCCCTGGGGCTGAGGGTATCATTGGGCAAGGCAGCTGCAGCCCCTGATGGTTGTGTTAACACATCGGTTCTGGGAGTGGGGAAAAGGTGAGTGACCTGGGCAGCAGCTTCCTTCCTCCTTCCATCTGAGGGCAAGAGCGAAGATGTTTAAGCAAACCCTTCTGTGAATTTGTAGCAATGACCAATGGTACATTCAGCAGGGATTGCTTGCTTTCAAATGGTGTGACTTCATCTTCTTAAAATAAGACATTTACAAATGGGATTTGCATTCTGTCAATCAGTGTGCATGAGGTTTTCCAGGACACTCTCCTCACTAATTATGTTTCCTCCTGACCTCCTAGCCCTAAATTTTCTCTTACATTTCCCAGCCATAAGGATATCCCCAACCTGGACAGGGAAGGAAATCAAGATAAGCAGAAAGGAGCCATGTAATAGTGATGGATGCATTGGCGCCAACCATTTGTTAGGAGCTGCGCTTGGTGCTGCAGAGGCAGAGACGAGAAATCTGCAGCCCAGTCCTCCAAGTGTAGTGGCAGGCTGGCGGAAGCCAAGGCAGTTGCAATGCTGCAGAGACAGACCAGGATGCCAAGGAGAGTAGGGCTGTCTCTGTTGGTGGAAAACCAAAGCCTTGAGAAAGGCCTTGATGATCAAAAAGAGATGGGGGAGATCTTCCAGGCAGAAGGGACAGCAGGAGCAACATACAGACCTCATCTAGCGTCTGATTTTTATTTATGTATTTATTTATTTTTGAGACAGAGTCTTGCTCTGTCACCCAGACTAGAGTGCTGTGGTGTGATCTCGGCTCACTGCAACCTCCGCCTCCCAGGTTCAAGTGATTCTCCTGCCTCAGCCTCCCAAGTAGCTGGGACTACAGGCACCCACCACCACACCGGAATACACACAAATTTATTTCTTAGGCATTTGGGATTGTCCTTACTGCTGTGTCTAATCCCCATTGGCTGGAGCCAGACCTCACAATCTAAACTAAAACCTGATTGGCTAATAACTTAAACTTTTCCAAATAGGTAGAAGCAGAGGAGAGCTGGGACATGCCTGTGAGCACATCCAGCACAGATATCTTGGTTAAAGTATAAGGACATAGAATGTACCACATGCCTGTAAGCATGGCATGTTAAACAGCTACATAACATAGGGTTTAAAGTTATTAGCACACTTACAATTTACTCTTTAACAAGAAAGGAAGCTTTTTAAAATGAAACTTTTCTACTCCCCACATCATCTCAGCCAGCCTCACCCACTCTCTCGTCCCCAGCACCAAGAGGTTTGAGGACATGATTGCACCCTTTCGCCTGAATGATGGCTTCAAGGATGAGGCCACTGTCAACGAGATGCGGCGGGACTGCCCCTGGAAGATCTCAGATGAGGAGATTACGAAGAACAGAGTCAAGGTGCAGGAGAGGGGTGGCCTTGCTGGGGTGGGTGGGGGTGGGAAACACGACACATCAGTGGGTCAGGGACAGGCGTCCTGCATGTCCTAAGCTCCCCAGCCCCTCCCCTCGATCCTCCAGCCTGCTTTCCACTCCGGCCCCTGAGCTATCCTCACGCCACAGTCACTCAGGCTGATGGGTAACCCAGCTGTGGAACTCAGTGCTATCCTTTATGTGGGAGCCTGGTCCTCCTGCCCATCTTAAGTGAGCCCTGGCAGTGGGCATGGACCGCCCTGAGTCCTCCTCCCTCTCCTCCCTGCTTCCTCTACGCTGGATAGAAGAGATTCCTGAGACTTATGGTGATGGCCCAAGTATAATTTGTGCTGTTAGGCTGGGCGTGGTGGCTCACCCCTATAATCCCAGGACTCTGGGAGGCTGAGGCAGATGGATCAGTTGATGTCAGGAGTTCAAGACCAGCCTGACCAATAGGGTAAAACCCTGTCTTTACTAAAAATACAAAAAAAAAAAATTAGCTGGGCATGGTGGGAGCACCTGTAATCCCAGCTCCTCAGGAGGCTGAGGCAGGAGAATTGGTTGAACCTAGGATGGGGAGGTTGCAGTGAGCCAAGATCACACCAGAGCACTCTAGGCTGGGTGACAGAGCAAGACTCCATCTAAAAAAAAATAAAATTTGTCCTGTGTCCTGTGGGACACAGTGGCCTGACCTTCCCCCCTTAGCCTCTAGACCCTGCCCCTGACACAGCTCAGAGCCATGGTGCCCCTTCCTGACAGTACTTCAGGACTCTAAGGGCTAAGATAGAGTGTGCCTGTAGCCGTGGCTGTGTCAAGGTGGGGTGAGCTCTGGAAGGGCAGGGGGTGGGGGCAGGGGTGATCCCACTTCTACCCCCAGTGTCAGTCATTCTTCATCATGAGTGATTTTGCCCCCTGGGGGACATTTGGCAACCTCTGGAGACATTTTTATTTGTCACAACGGGGGGTTGAGTGTTGCTACTGTCAGGCAGTGAGGAGAGGCCTGGGATTGGTGGCAAACATCCTGCAATGTACAGGACACTTCCCATGACAAGGACTCATATGTCCCAGATAACTCTAGTGCAAGATCCAGAATCCCTTACCCAGGTTAACTCCCTTCCCCTTGTTCTCCTGGTCTCCAGGATAGGGTGTCTGTCCGTGATCAGTTCCTGAGTGTCAATCATTTCTGAACGATTTGAGATAGGCCTTGTATTGGAAGGAGTCTCCCACCCTCAACCCAGTCCCACACAAGCTCTGGGGACTTCCCTAATCTGTCAGCCCTGAGACCTTGCCCCAAAGGGCTCATGCAGCCATCTGGGTCTTTGGAAAATGATGAATAAAACTTTGTGTGCAAAGGAGACCCTCCAATATTCTGTTACGGAAGTGGGGTGACCTGTCCCTGCTCCGAGTTCACCTGTCTTTTCTAGAGTATTTTTCACATACCAGGCCCTCTGCTGGGTGCTTTTGCATAGGTTGTCTTATTTGAAACTCTCCAAATTCACCTGGAGAAGGTATCATTATACCCATTTTACAGATGAAGACAGTGAAGGTCAGGGAGGCGACACGACTTGCTCAAGTTCTCTCTGCTATGAAATATGAGAGCTGAGGTCTGAACCTAGTAAGGTGTTCTCTCTTCCTTCTACCCCAGTGGTTATGGTCATAGTCAGACAAGGAAAATCCATGGAAGGCATCTTGGAGGAGGTGAGCTGTGTGCTCCATTATTCAAAGGGTCCCCTTCTTCCTGGAGGCAGGAGAGTCAGTAAGAATTTAGGGGAGTAATTTATGAATCCAGTTGAAAATGTTAATGAGGCCGTGGATGTGGTGAGGGGTCAAGTGCTCTCGAGGATATGGGAAATGACCACTTGGCTTTCTCCTGCCCAGTCCCTTCGGCAGGTGAGGCTGAATGAGATTCTGCTGGATTACTCCCGAGACGCTGCTCTCATCGTCATGTAAGTAGCTCCTGGCTGGTGGGAGGACCAGCCTGTCTGGGGTCAGGTGTCTCAGCTCTGGGAAGGGGCTCAGTGGGGGCACCACGGAGGACCGGAGCCTTTCCCTGGGAAGCAGAAGGGCCAAAACTCCCATAAATATAGCCCTGGTGATTCTCAGCACGTGGCTGGGCCCGAGTCCGCCCCATACCTGAGCTCCAGCTGGCAGAAGCTGAGGGCCTCACGTGTCCCAGACACCTCTGACCGCCCCTTGTCATTGCTTTATCCTGGTGGCTGCCTTTTCCTACCAAATTCCACTTGGCAAAAAGGGAACACAGCTGTTTCTAGAAGGACATCAATTCCTGGTTGTTTAGGAATCACTTGGCCTCTTTGGCTACAGCCATTCCCAACTGATGTTGGTTCCAAGCCTGAGCAACAGTAACTGAGGCCTGCCCCAGCCCTGGCTGTTCCTACTGGACCCATGTCCAGTTCTGAGCCACCCTTGGGGTGTGTCAGCCACCAAGAAGGTGAGATGGAAGGTGACAGTTATGCAGCGAAGGTCTCAGGGTGGCTCTGCTCTCTATGAAGCCTGAAAGAAGAACACGATCAGCCAAGCCCTCAGCTCAGGGGACAAGAGGTCTTTGCCAAGGCAAGTAACTGGCCTCTTGTGCATTTCCTGTGGGCCAACCGCCTGGGAATCAGACAGAAGGGACCCCTCAGCTCTGGTGATGGGTGATGGAACTCACTCCCAGACCTATCACCATCTGACCTGGACTGCAGATGCCAGGTTCTGGAGGACAGCCACAACGTCCATGGGACGTGCTTGTTCATAACCTGAAGCCAGGACCAACTGCACAGTTTGCAAGGCCTAGAACAAAACAAAAATGTGCAGCTCCTTGCTCAGAAAATATTAAGAAGGTCAAGGTCTTCTCTTTCAAAGTAATCTCCCTTACATTCTCACATAGTCTGTATGGAATTTGTTTTAATAAAAATCTCATGGTGGTGGAAAGGAGGAGAGGGCAGGGGTTCAACAGAACTGATCATAGGTTGATCATTGATGTAGAAAGAGGATGCTGTGGGCATGAAACTTCAGGGTATCATTTTTCAATGTTTACATGTTTGAATGTTTCCATAAATCTGCAAAATGCACCGTGCCTTGGAAAGCAACCACAAATGCTTCATCAAACTTACAAGAAGCTCTGGCAAGAAGGTCCCCAAACCTAGCACCGCACACTGTTCTAGAAAGATGTGTTCAGATAGGAGGGCTCCTTCAGCTCTGGGATACACCCATTCCCAGGCTTGTCACGTCTGACCTGGACTGCAGATGCGAGGATCTAAGGATGTTGGATTTGTGAGAAGAGACCTCAGAACAAGTCGTCCACTGAGGGTGATAAAAGCAACTCAAACTTATTTTCTACTACCTCTGTTGCTTGAGTGCTATATAAGTTGCATACTTCCCTTACTGCTGTGTCTGCAGTACTTTCTTTCAGGAGAGCACCAGCAACGTTTCTTTTAGGTAGTGTAAGTGCTTCTTTGAGAAAATCAAAATGGCAAATGGGTTCAGAGTGAAGATGGCCAATGGTTGGCCGGGTGCAGTGGCTCATGTCTGTAATCTCAGCACTTTGGGAGTCTGAGGCAGGTGGATCACGAGGTCAGGAGTTCAAGACCAGCCTGACCAACATGGTGAAACTCTGTCTCTACTAAAAGTACAAAAATTAGCCAGGTGTGGTGGCAGTCACCTGTAATCCCAGCTACTCAGGAGGCTGAGACAGGAGAATCACTTGAACCCAAGAGGCGGAGGTTGCTGAGCCAAGATCGTGCCACTGCCCTGCAGCCTGGGCAACAGAGTGAGACTCTGTCTCAAAAAAAAAAAAAAAAAATCAATGGCTTCTAGCAGATAAGTAGATAAAGCCTGAGGATATGCATCCTCCTAGGTCTCACCAAAGGCTAGAAGCTAAGCAAACAGTTTGGAGACCTGAAGGAGGTTTCTGGACCTCCAGTTCATTTTAAGATGCCCATGAGGGTTTTTCCTCTCTGGCTGCCTGAAGACTGACCGCCATCATGAATGACTCAGTAACTATCCAAACTAGGAAGGTTGTGACCAACTGACTACTTCAGAGGGAAGAAATGACCATCGATGTCCTTCACCCTGGGAAGGCAACAGTACCTAAGATAGAAATTTAGGACAAACCAGCCACAATGTACAAGACCACACTGGAGATCATCTTTGCATTTGGATTTAGAACTCATTTTCGTGGTGGCAAGACAACTAGTTTGGCATGATTGATGATCCCTTGGATCATGCAAAGAAAAATGAAGCCGAACATAGACTTGCAAGACATGGCCAGTATGAGAAGAAAAAGACCTCAGGAAAGCAACAAAAGGAACGCAAGACCAGAATGAAGGAAGTTAGGGGACCGTAAAGGCCACTGTTGCTGCTGCAGTAAAGGGGCGGCAATGATGTTATCTGCGGTCATTGTGGATCTTTTATAAGAAGATTAATAAACTAAAAACTCTCATGTGAAAAAAAGATGCCCAGGAGGCTTCAAAAGGCACCAATAGCAGTTACTCTTCATTGACAGGGGAGAGGTTAAATGTTTGCTTCTACCAGTTAGTGGAATTTGGTCACCAGGAGACTGGTTCAGGCAATTAGAAACCTAACTATGGGCCGGAAGCCATGGCTGACACCGGTAACCCCAGCAGTTTGGGAGGCCGAAGTGGGTGGATCACTTGAGGTCAGGAGTTTGAGACTGGCCTGGCCAACATGGTGAAACGCTGTCTCTACTAAAAATGCAAAACACTTAGCCAGGCGTGGTGGTGCACACCTGTAATCTCAGCTACTTGGGAGGCTGAGACAGGAGAATTGCTTGAACCAGGGAGGCAGAGGTTGCAGTGAGCCGAGATCATGCCACTGCACTCAGCCTGTGTGACAGAGCTAGAAACATGCTTGGATTATACTAAAACAGTAATTCCATACACTCAGGCAGTGTTCAGGAATCATGGCTTAGAACATTCGGGCTGCTATAGCAAAATACCATAGACTGGGCTTGTCAGCAACAGCTCCTAAAACCACCACCCTGGGGATATGGATTTCAACGTGTGAATTTCCAGGGACGTGAATATTCAGACGGTAGCAAATCGTTCTGACTTGCAAAGTTTCTGTACTTCCATTACTTCCTATGTGTCAGTAGACGGTAGAACATGTAAAAATCTTCATAATTCCTAATATTCTATGCAGTGTGCAACCCCGTCTCAGCAGAAGAGTCTAACAACAGACCAGAAACAGACCATTGTCAGTCTGCCCCTGGGACTCAGCATTCCTCATGCCCCAATGCCCCCAGTGCTAGTGTATGCTTTTTTAAAAAGAGAAGAGGAAGAAGAAGAAGAAAAAGAATGATTGTATTTATTTCTCAGATAGTGATATAACTTTTTTTTTGAGACCAAGTCTCACTCTGTCACCCAGGCTGGAGTGCAGTGATGCAATCTCTGCTCACTGCAACCTCTACCTCCTGGGTTCAAGTGATCCTCCTGCCTCAGCATCCCAAGTAGTGCCACCTTGCCTGGCTAATTTTTTGTATTTTCAGTAGGGTTGGGGTTTCACCACGGTGGCCAGGCTGTTCTCGAACTGCTGACTTCAGGTGATCCACCCACCTTGGCCTCCCAAAGTGATGGGATTATAGGTGTGAGCCACTGGCCTGGCCGCAGAGAGTGATGTAATTTATAGTGTAGTCAATTGGGTTGAACTGTCACTTGCAACACTTTCTTGTGTGACTTAAGGCATTAGAGAGAGAGAAAAAAGAATGTCAAGATGGTGACAGCAGAGCATTAGACAAAGCAAGAGACCCTACTAAGCGGAAGGCCCCATGTGACTGCACTGGTTGCATACCCAGGAAGCTGGCTTGCCCAGAATAACGCTTCCTGGGGCTTTAGGGACATAATTTTTTTGTACAAAGAAAGTGCTCAGTGTTTCCTTGGAGAACAGTATTAAGGAAAGGGGCTGGGTTTATCTACAAACCTCTCGCCAGCACCTAGCAGAGAATGTTCCTAGGGCAAGGTTGGTCCAGGGTGAGGGCTGGGTCCGAGTGAGAGACAGTGGAAATGGCTTCGTCCTGAGATGCCTCCCCAGACTCTTCCTTGGGTATGGTGCCTGCTGGGTGTGCATGGCTGTGCCAGACCACGGCTTAACAAGTGCTGCCTCTGTTCAGAGAAGCGTGTGTGCATTTTCTCTATGCTATTAGCCCACTGTGTGGCCTTGGGTAAGACCCCATCTCTCTCTAGCCTCAGTTTTCCTAATTATAAAGAGTTAAACAGAAGTATTTCCAAGATTCTCTTTCATGCTAATATGCTGTGATTTTGTTTATTTGTCATTAAAATGAGTCAGTCTCAGCTGAGAGAGGGAGGCTGAGGCCATCTGGGAGGCTGAGGCCAAAGGATTGCTTGAGCCCAGGAGTTGGAGACCAGCCTGGGCAACATCATGAGACCCTATCTATCTATCTATCTATATAAAATCAGTCTCTTAAGCCATAAGATGAAGAATTTCATCTGGGGAGGTGACCACCTGTTGGAATCTCTCCCTTCCCAACCCCCATCCCCATCACCATCCCCCAACCTCATAGGGAAAATCAATCCCCCACCCATCAGCCTTTGTGGGATTCGCCAATACAAGTAATTATAAATCCGGTGACCTCGGAGAAGACTCCTACCCAGGGCGTTCCACCCCATGCCAGTATCGACAGCTGTTGTCCAGAGAGGCCCCAGCTATTGGGCCGAATCCACCAGGAGGACAGAGCAGCTGCATCTGTCCAGCCCTAATCTCCAACCTGGAGCCATGCCTAGTGTTTCTACAAGCTCAGCCGGAGGGTCAGCTTCGTCAGAATCACAGGGGACTACAGAAACACAAGTCCTCAATGCCTTCCAGACCACGCTCTGGGGTGGAGCCCAGAAATTCCGAGGAAGGGAAAAAAAAAATCTCCCAAGCCTCTGTGAAATGATCGAATCACAGTCTAGCATTTGGGAGAGTGTGCTTGGAGCATTTCTTAGAGCCGGTTGAGGCAGCACTCGGTCGATTGCTGTTCACTGATCAGTGAGTTATCAGCGGCCCCAGGTTTGAGTGCAGCTACTCCAGCACAGCCGATAAGCCAGCCTCATAAATAGCCCAGCAGCCTTTGCCCAGCCTAGCAACATATTCCTGTTGGGTCCAGGCACCTCTTTTTTTTCTACAAACACTTCCTCCTCAAAGCCAAACAGCATTAATCAAAATAGTAACAATCGACACTGCATTTTATGGCTTGAGCCTCTATGATACTCAAAGTATCAGGTCTTATGAATTTTCAAAACCCTAGTTTTAAGACAGCACCTCTCTCCGTCACCCAGGCTGGGGTGCGGTGGTGTGGTCTCAGCTCACTGCAACCTCTTTGTTTTTTTGTTTTCTCTTTGTAACCTGTGACTCAGACCTCTTGGTCCTATAATTTTCTTTGTTTATTGAGGCAGGGTCTTACTCTGTTGTCCAGGCTGGAGAGCAGTGGTGCAATCTCAGCTCACTGCAACACCACCTCCCCGGACTCAAGCAGTCCTCCTAATTCAGCCTCCTGAGTAGGTGGGACTACATGCGTGTGCCACCAGGCCTGGCTAGTTTTGTGTATTTTTTATGGAGACAGTGTTTCGTTGTATTGGCCCAGGCTGGTCTCAACTCCTGAGCTCAAGCAATCCACCTACCTTGGCCTCCCAAAGTGCTGGGATTACAGGCATGAGCCACTGTGCCTGGCTCACAACTCTGTGAGCCCCCACTTTAGAGATGAGGAAATAGCTTCAGAGAAGTGAAGCAACTTGGCCAGGATCTTGCAGACAGGAAGTGGGAACTGCTTCTGGAGCCCATGACGGTGGTTCTGATGCAGGGCTGTCGTTTCACATCTAGGTTAGATCTAAGGCCGCCTTTCTTTGTGGCTAAGAGATGCAATTCTGAAAAAAAAAAAAAAGTTCTTTTGTTCTGGAACAGCTTTATTTCTGAAGATTAGTAGCTCAAGGTGTGTACATCCTGTGAGCGGGAATAGAGCTTGTCATTGGTTGGTGTGGGGGCGGGGGTGATTTTAAAGAGAGCTGTCTCTTGGACTGGTGGACAAGCTCTGCTGGGGGAGGGAACTCCATGCTGAAGCTTAAAAGTTCCCCGTCCCTATGATGCAGAAACCAATTCTCCTGTGGCCTTTGAAGTTTCTGAATTTAGTCCCCGAAATCACGTTCTGTTTCCTGGAAGGTATTGTCTGCCTCTCGCGTAACTGCTCAGTCAGGAGAGTTTGGTTTCAGTACTCCTCGGTCCCTTCTCCTGGAAAGTCACTAAATATTTGAACTCAGATGACTATGGCTTAATGAAATGCCCTTGGTCCCACCTACCTTCTCTAATTTTTTGAGACCTTATATTTTGTTTGTTTTGAGACAAAGTCTCACTCTGTTGCCCAGGCTGGAGTGCAGTGGCTCACTGCAGCCTCAACCTCCCCGGCTCAAGTGATCCTCCCACCTCAGCCTCCTGAGTAGCCGGGACCACAGGCCTGTGCCATCACACCCAGATAATTTTTGTATTTTTTGTAGAGATAGGTTCTCACCATGTTGCCCAGGCTGGACTTGAACTCCTGGGCTCAAGTGATCGGCCCACCTCAGCCTCCCAAAGTGCTGGGGTTATAGGTGTGAGCCACTGTGCCTGGCCCGGGACCTTGCTTTTTAAAGGAAGGCAGGGCTTGTCCCAACTGAAGCTTTGTGGATGGAACTTCCAGTATGACATAGCTGTTTAGGCTCCCAGTTACCCTTCTCAGAGGAGGCAGAGTTGCCGTGAGCAGTGTCCGCTGCGGAGGGAAGATGCCAAGACCTTGGTTCGCGTTCCAACTCTGCCGCCGCTGGCTTGGCCGTCTCGTGCTGGTCAGTATTAAGTGATGATGGCAGCTGTTGACCTTACAGAGGGCTCACTACGTGCCGGGTGTTATGCTGCGCCTGCGTGTGCTTCGCCAGCTTTAGCATCACAAACATCCTGTGAGGGAGGTTTAGGGAAGAGCAATTCTCCAAAGGTCACAAGGCTGAGGAAGTGGCAAATCCATGACTCAGACGCCAGAGCCTGGCTCTGACTTCAGTGCTCCAGCATCCTCCTCCCGCCCCGTTCCCTCAATTGTGAAGGAGCGCGGTGCTGCGGGCCCTGCGCATTCCCCAAAGGGATGTATTTAGGGGAAACAGACAAACAAGTGAGTCCCACGTCAGGTGCTGGTACCCCAACTTCCCTTGGGACCAGCCGGATCTGTAAGACGATGCCCCTCCTGGAGCCCAGAGCTGGCAGCTGGGGCCGTCCCAGTGCATTTTTTGAATTCTCCGGATAGTAGAAAAGTCACTTCCTCAAACAGTTGGAAGACAGGGCTGAGCAGCATTCCCGGGGCATCTCGTTATTCACGCAGCATTGCACAGTTAAGACAAGGGGCCTCCCCACAGGCAATGGTGGAGTCCTGCTCCCAGGGACTCTTGCACAGGATGGGAGGCAGGACAAGGATGCTGAGCTGGATAATGAACAGAAACATAGCATATTACTGTGGCCACAGGCGGGCACATGGCTGGAGAGGCAAGCCTAGCATGAAGCAGGTGGCCTGATGGGGAGGGGTCAAATATAGACTTAACAAATATAGACTGAGCCTGACTGTATCAGACTGTGTTCTAGGCACTGGGTAAGAGGGGTGAACAAGACAGACCCGGCCTGCTTGTGAGTGAACATTCTAATGTGGGGAGACAAACACATAAATCATGTGAAGATGCGTTGGGACTGTGAAGAGCTCTGAAGGCAGTAAAGTGGGTGATGTGAGGAAGAGGCATGGGCAGCCTGCCCGGGAGGAGTGACCAGGAAAGGGGGTGGGTGCACTTGCCTGACTCAAAGGAAGCCACCAGGTACAACAGGGCAGGGCTGCTCCCTTCCTGGTGGGAAGAGTGTCAAGTGCAAAGTTTGGAGGCAGGATTGAGCATGGCATTTTTTGGGGAATGGAAAGAAAGCTACAGGGCATCGGGGGTGAGCAAGGCGAGGGTGAGTTCGTGGGCTTGGCAAGGACTGCATCCCACAGGGTCTGTGGGCCACAGCTTCATTTGGAACGCTTCACGGAGGAAGGTCCATTCTGGGTCATGTTTGTGCAGAAAGCAGGGAGGTCATTCCTAGGGTGGGTGGAAAAAGCTCTGAGGGACAGTAAACAGACTCGCTGTTCTGAAAACAAGCCGGGAGCTGGGCGTGTGGAGAGGCCCCATGGTAATCTATCTTGTGCCACTTTTTCCTACCTTGCAGCACTCTGCCCATAGGGAGGAAGGGGAAGTGCCCGAGCTCGCTGTACATGGCCTGGCTGGACACCCTGTCCCAGGACCTCAGACCTCCAGTCATCCTGATCCGAGGAAACCAGGAAAACGTGCTCACCTTTTACTGCCAGTGACTCCAGGCTTGGCCATCCCTGTCCGCTATTGGGGGTGCATGGAACGAGTTGGAACTCGACTGGCTGCAGTCCACAGGGATGAGACTCATGTTCTGTTGTAAGTGGCAGCATCTGGTGATCTCACCAAAAAAGATGGTAGATTTCCAAATCTGGCTGGACTCTGCTTCCACCGGACACATTCTCTGGGTTTTGTTTTTATGGGCTGGAGAAACAGCAGATGGAGCTGCCAGGAAAACTCTCTAAAGGATTCTATTCCTTTTAAAGCGTTTCTTTTGATCTTGATGACCATTAATTAAGAGTTCAGTCTTTGATTTGTATGCAAACAGGAGTCCCAATGCTGGGTGTGAATCTTGACAGTTTCTGCAGCACTTCCTGCGTGAAAGTTCCTAAACCACGCCGCCTTCCTCTAATAGGAGAATGGGAGCCTCACCTGTAGGACCTACAGGTGCTCTAAGGAGGAATGCAAGGCTCTCTCTGAGCCTCCACAGCGAGGCAAATTTCTTTTCTCTTTTCTTTCTTTCTTTTTTTTTTTTTTGAGACTGAGTTTTTTCTCTTGTTGCTCAGGCTGGAATGCAATGGCACAATCTTGGCTCACTGCAACCTCTGTCTCCCAGGTTCAAGTGTTTCTCCTGCCTCCGCCTCCCTGAGTAGCTGGGATTACAGGTGTCCATCACCACGCCCGGCTAAATTTTGTATTTTTAGGAGAGCTGGAGTTTCACCATATTGGCCAGGCTGGTCTCAAACTCCTAAACTCAGATGATCCACCCGCCTTGGCCTCCCAAAGTGTAAGCCACCACACCCAGCGCAAGCAAATTTCTCGAACTACTTCTCACTCCATCACTTTCAATAACGGGTCTTTGATGTCTTCACTGGTTCTTTAGAGCAGGGACTTTGCAAACATTTTTGGTTGCAACCCACACTAAGAAATATATTTCACACCAAGACTTGCAACGCATACACGTGGAAACGACAAAGACAAAAATGTCACAAAACAATACTTACCCTTCCCATGGGGGATGCCCGGAAGTATGTTCTGTTCTATTTATTTTTCACTGTTGGTTGCAATCCACTAAAATGACTTTGGGATCCACTCCTGGGTGGGGACATTGGAAAACCACGGCTACCCTTCTGCCGTGCCCTGCATTTGTTCACACACAGGGAGTCCAGCTGAGCGGAGGAAAGGCTCACCCAGCCACAGCTGGGTGTCATTGCTATTTTCCCAGCTCATCTCATGGGGAAGAAAAGCAAACTGACCCAACACGTGAAGAGGGATACTGATGACAGGAGAATCAAAAAGAGTTTTAAAGAAGGAGAAAGGTTGAAGAAGTCTAGTGGCAAGGGGTAAGATTTCAGGCATGGTTAACCATGGAGGACAAGGATATCAGGAATGGGGACATGGAGAGGGGTGTAGACATGGCGAGGTTGGTAAGGATCAGAAAGGCAGGAGCAGGTCCAAGCCCGGCCCCAGGATGGGTGAAAGGAGAGGGGAGGAGGAGCCACCTGCAAGAGGTGGAAAGAGCAGGTGGCAGAGGGCACTGGCAGGGAGGGGCTGTTAAGAGTGGGGTTGGAGGTGGGACAGAAGCCGGGACAAGGGAGATGGAGAAAGGACCTGTACCTGGCTCGGGGAAGGCATTCAGGCCACTACACGTTGAACATCCCCAGGGTTTGATCCCCAAAGCTGGGGTGCAAGAGCACTGCCATCAAATGCCAGTGGGTGAGGCCAAGTGAGAGGGGACTTGCAGCTCTAAACATAAGCAGTGTAAAGGTGAGTCATTTGGTGGTACAACTGCCTGTGCCTACTTCCTGTATGGCGCTGGGGTGGCTGAAGGAACAGACATCTTTAGGTTTTGTCAGCCTCCTGCAAGAGCTACATTCACCGTGTGTGCCTACACTTTAGACTTCAGAAGGAGACTAAAGACTTCCAGAATTTTGAAGGATAGCTGAAGTCTCCTTTTCGGAGTTAGAACCCAAAGGACGTTAGCATTTCTCAGTTCACCCCACTGCAAAGTCCAGAAGGCTTGGACTTCCCACTGTCCTTTGTCTGCCTCAGAGCTTGCTGTGAGGGACTGGGAACCACTGTGCTCACTAGGAACAGCTCCCCTGCTCCCAAGGGACCTGGAGAATGGGCCTGCCTCCAGACCATTGATAATCCTCAATTCCAGATAAGGGGAAGCCTCCATCAGGGAATACTGGCCTTTCTAGAACCACATGGAAAACAATTTTCTGATTCTTCAAACCTGAAGGAGTTCTTGGTCCAAAAAAAAAAAAAAAGAGAGAGAGAGAGAAGGTTTTGGCTTTGGGTGTCTGAAAAAAAAACAAAACCAAAAATTTCATGATGTTAGAAATAGTATGTTTTTAACAATAATAATAGCTTTGTAATAACAAAAAAGAAGCTTTACCAGTGAGGCCATACACAATGGAATGAATAAAAACTATGGTCACTCAGTCAACAGAACGTATTTGTTTTGGAACACACTGTTTTTCAACTCTGCTGAGTGTTTTGATAAAAATTAACTATTGTTTTTCCAACCTTGGACTGAACTTTTCTCGGAGCCTCTACTGGTTCTGCAGGTCATTGAGCCAGGTTTTGACATAAATATTTATAGGAGCCATTTATTTTCCCTTTGATTCTCTTCCCCGCATTTGCAGACTCATGGGGAACCATTTTTGTCAGCCTTTATCAAAGTCTCCCAGCATTTCCCATCTTGCCTCACACAGAGAGGTAACAGGTTGAGTGGAAGGAGCCATGGCAAGGCCACCAGGAGACTGGGATTTGAGTTTCAGTGTCTCCCCAAAACTGGCTCTGTGACCTCAGATATGCCCCTTCACCTCTCTGGGAGACCTCCAATCTATAAAATGAAAAAATTGGATCAGAACAGGTTTCACCAGCCAGCTGACCCAACAGTGACTGGTTCGACCCAGGAGTAGGTGACAACAGTTGTGACTACATCAGGAGGTGGGGGTTAAGGGGAAGGGGTACCCATTCCTTGCTCACCCCCAACCCACTACCCTTCCCAGCCCACCACTTCCTACTCCCCTGTGGTATAAGCCTTTGGATCCAGGGATTTCGAATTTCTCTAGGTCACTATTTGGCCTATGAGGGTAGGAGATACAGTGTCATGCTGCATCTCTCTCTCTCTGCCTTTGGATAACAAGGTACTTCCCATTGAGGAGTTTGTGCGGTAGGAAGTACTATCAATGAAGCCTTCCCTTCCTCTGTGCCAGCAGAGGAGGGAACCATCAGGGCCCAGCGCCAGCCTCAGCTCCAGCGGCAGCCCCCGCAGGGCTCCTCCTGTCTCTTCCCTGGGATCCATGCCCAGTTAGCCCAGTTTTCCCCTCCGCATTTCAGCCTCCAGATTTAGTATCCTCCCTCAGCACCTGCACAGACTCGCTGTGGCTTTAAAGTAAATACAGTACCACCTATTTTTCACTCTCTGGGCTCTGCTTACCCAGGCAGAAAGCTGTGGCCTCCTTAACACATGGAGAGTCCCAGCATGGACTGAATTCCCTTCTAGACCCCTGCCTGGACTGTCTAGAGTGGTGAGAGGGAGGAGAGTTCACAGGGATGAGACCAGTTGGAATGTTCTAGAAGAACCACCTGATTGGGAGGCTTCCAGGCACAGGCAAAGCAGCCAGGTTTGGTTCATAGCTGTGTAGAGAGCTCAGGATGTCAGGGAAAAGACGCTGCCAACTCCAAGAATATTCACAGAAGTGGGGCCCAGGAAAGCCCAGCCACCGGCTTCATTGGTAATTCCCCACTTGAAGTGAGGTTTCATCCCATGACTGAAAGCAAAAATACAAAAAAAAAAAAAAAAGCACCCACTTCCTAAAAGGGAGCCATCGCAAATACAGTTTCTACAAATACTCCGAGAAGGACCACCTGGCTGGGAGGCCAGAGAGCAGAATGTCTGATACATGAAAGACAGTGGCAAGAAAGGACAAGTGTTTTTATTCTAGCTCATAAAAGTTACGAAGAAAAGTCTATGTTTGCAGAAGAGGGAGCAAACACGTTAGGTTGAGGGGATTAGGAAAGTCTTTATAGGGAACATGGTGTACAACATCAGTTCCAGAAATTGGTGGGATTCAGCAGAAAGGCAGAAATGAGAGCTGGGGTGGGAAGAAGGCTTTCCAGGCAGGAGCAGTAAAAGAAAGAGTAAGGACTGCCCTGGGCATGTTTGGAGAACAAGAAACAAGCCAGTTTTCCTGGAGTGTGAGGGAAGTGTGCATAGGAAAACAACACTGGGCCGGGGGCGGTGGCTTATGTCTGTAATCCCAACACTTTGGGAGGCTGAGGCAGGGGGATCACCTGAGCCTACGAGTTTGAGACCAGCCAGAGAAACATGGTGAAACTCTCTCTCTACAAAAAAAAAAAAAAATAGCTGGCTGTGGTGGTATACACCTGTGGCTCCAGCTACTCCAGAGGCTGAGGTGGGAGGATCGCTTGAGCTGGGAGGTCGAGGCTGCAGTGCTGTGATTATGCCACTGCACTCCAGCCTGGGTGACAGACCAAGACTCTATCTAAAAAGAATAATAAAAAAGGAAGAAGGAGGAAGAGGAGGAGAAGTAGCAGTCATGTAATATGAAGGGCAGAATAACAGGCTTAATCCTGAAAGGAAAGAGAAAGCAAATGGGTTTGGGTGTGGTACTTTAAGTGTGAGAATGCCCAGGTGGTCAGAACTGTGGTCCTGGAGGCTGGAAAGAGCTCAAGGTGCTCCCGTTAGCCTGCAGCTCTTTGAGATCAGTGACTGTAAATAGATTTGGGAGTCATGCTCATGGTCAGGGACATGGAAATCATGGCTTGGGTGAGATCAAGAGAGAAAGAACAAAAAAAGAACAGGGCTAGATCTTGGGAAGGGCTGTATTTAGGAGGCAGAATGAAGAAGGGTCAGTGATGAGGCAGCCTTGAAAAGAGCATTGGAGGGACAGGAGGAAAACTCAGATCACTGAGGAGGCACCAGAGAAGGGGGTCAAAGAAGCTCAGAGTCCACCACATAGTAGTTGTTTGCAAAGGGGCTGGAGCCGCTGAAGGTGCTGTTGAATTTGGGGTTGTGGCATCACTGGGAGCTTGCAACAAATAATTTGGTAAAGCAGCAGGTCAAGGGCCAGGGATTGAGGACAGAATTTGTGGACAGGAAGGGAAAACAGCAGCCCTGCTTAGAGACCATACTTGAAGAAGCCAGCAGTGGAGAGATGGAGGAAAACAGAGGGCAAAGGTGCTTTGATGTTGTTATCATAGGGCCCGTGTCAGGGTAATGCTAGGCTATGCTGCAGTAACAAACTGCCCTCTGTGTTAGAGGCGTACATGACAAAGACCTGTTTCTGTTTTACAAATATTCCTACAACAGCCAGGCAGCTCTTCAGGGTTCCTCTTTTCCACATCAGGACTCAATGATCAAAATTACTTCTGTCTGGGGAGGCCACCACCTTGGCCAGCTCATTGAAGAAGGGAAGAGATAGCTGGAAGGTCAAGTTCTGGCTTTTAAATGCTTCCACCCAGACAGGACGTTGTTTATTTCCACTCAAAGCCCATTAGCCAAAGCCAAATAGTCACACGGTTCCACCTAACTGCAAGGGTGCTCGGAAATTTGGGGGAAGATATGAATATTCATTGAGCAATAAAAGTCTCTGATACAGGGAAAGGTCGAGTAATAGAGACTTGAGTGTATTGATGGGTCAGAGGGGAGAGATTGACGATGCAAGGAAGAGAATAACTGCAGAAAAGGCAGCGATGATGAATCAACAACACGTGGGGACATTTTTGGCATGCAACAAGAAACGTGTAGCTGAAGCTGGTAGCCCTAGGGTGCAAAACTCTCAGGACCCCTGCCCTCGTGATCTGACCTGGTAGGGCCCCGAGCACCAGGTCAGAAAGCAAACATGGAAATTGCAGGTGACATGTTCCCCAACAATGGGGCTGGCCAAGCAAAGAGGGAAGGACAAGGCACGAGGCAGGGATTCAAGAAGGATGACCGTGAGCTCCCAGGTGGACGGGGAGACGGAATTGAGCTGCAAGACTTGAGAAGTGAAATGCTGGTAGCATGAAGACAAAAAGAATGTGCAGGCTGGGTGCGGTGGCTCAGCCCGCGCGCAGTGGCTCACACCTATAATCCCAGAACTTTGGGAGGCTGAGGCAGGTAGATCACTTAAGGCCAAGAGTTTGAGACCAACCTGGACAACATGGTGAAATCCCGTCTCTATGAAAAAAAAAATTAGCAGGGCATGGTGGTGGCCGCCTGTAGTCCCAGCTACTGAGGATGTTCAGTGGGGAGAATCACTTGAATCCGGGAGGCAGAGGTTGCAGTGAGCCGAGATCACGCCACTGCACTCCAGCCTGGGCGACAGAGCAAGACCCCATCTCAAAAACAACAACAACAACAGAAACATGCAGTGGGCCGGGCATGGTGACTCGCGTCTGTAATCCCTGCACTTTGGGAGGCCAAGGCAAGGCGGATCACTTGAGGTCAGGAGTTTGAGACCAGCCTAGGCAACATGATGAAACCCCATCGCTACTAAAAATGCAAAAATTAGCCAGGGGTGATGGCATGCACCTGTAGTCCCAGCTCCTTGGGGGCTGAGGCAGGAGGAAAGCCTGAACCCAGGAGGTTGAGGCTGCAGTGAGCTGAGATGGCGCCACTAAACTCCAGCCTGAACCACAGAGTGAGACACTGTTTCAAAAACAAACAACGACAACAAAAAAGAACATGCAGTCGATGTGGGAGATCGGGAGATACAGAACAATGAAGTCTGTGGTCACTCCGTGTGCACTTCACAGCTTGACATTCTGGAGGAAATAAACATCCTGAGCACACCAAACTCTAAGGTGTCCACCATTTGCCTATGAGGTCCACAAAGGTGGGAGTTGAGATGCACCTTTTAGTTGCTGGATGGGAGGGAGACCAGGGGAGGGCCCGGGGCAGCTGGAGGGTACTCAGGGCAGGGGCTATGGATCAATAGGCACAGGGGTATTTCAATATCCTAACTGCGGAAATGGCTGAATGACTGCATGGCAGCTCTGAGGGTGACCATATCTGAGTCATCTCTTACCCTAGGATGCAGCACAGGGCTTAGCACAGTGTGACACCCAATAAGTGTTTGCAGGATGAATGAATGAATGAAGAACGAATGCATGGATCATACCCATGGGTGACTGAGCAAAGTGGAGATGAGATAAAGGGAAGTGAGCTGAATATCGTGAGAGTGAGTGCGAGCTGGACGCTGGAGTCGTTAAAGTGGGCAAGGGGTGGAGGGGAAGCTCATGAGCCAGTTGTCAAAGGCGCCAAGTGAGCTCTTGAGAGAGAGCTCTGGAGGTCAATAGGTTGTACCTGCAGACAGGTAAACCTTCAGATCAGAAAAGGGAGCTGAATGATGAGAACACATGGACACATGGGAGGAAACAACACACACTGGGGCCTGTCAGTGTGGGAGGGGGTGTGAGGGGAGGGAGAGCAACAGGAAGAATAGTTAATGGATGCTGGGCTTAATACCCACGTGGCTGGTCACGGCGGCTTATGCCTGCAATCCCAGCACTTTGGGAGGCCAAGGCGGGCAGATCACTTGAGGACAAGAGTTCGAGACCAGCCTGGCAAACATGGTGAAATTCCATCTCTACTAAAAATACCAAAATTAACCAGGTGTGGTGGCAGCTGCCTGTAATTCCAGCTACTTGGAAGGCTGGGAGAGGTGAATCTCTTGAACCCAGGAGGCAGAGGCTATGGTGAGCCAAGATTGTGCCACTGCACTCCAGCCTGGGTGACAGAGTGAGACTCCATCTCAAAAAAAGAAAAATACCCAGGCGATGGGATGATCTGTGCAGCAAACCACCAAAGCACACATTTACCTACATAACAAATCTGCACAACCTACACATGGACCCCGGAACTTAAAATAAAAGTTGAAGAAAGAAAAAAGTAAAGGCTGCTAAGATATGTAGCAAATTAGATGCAGGTGTGCTCTTATGAGGACACCAGAGGGAAGAGCTTGCGTGATACTCAGGGTCCTTTCCTGGAAAAAAGACAGGGTTGGTTAATGTCAGGGGTAGAAGGGCAAGGTATGTATTAGGGAGGGGGCTGGAGCCTGTTCACAAAGAACTATACCCAGGGGTTAATTCCTAAGATCTTGGTGATGGATATGGGCCTAGGGCAGGAAAGACCAGCTGGACCATGTCAGAGATAAGAGGTGGAGGAATCAGTGCAGTTGTTTGCAATGGGCTGATAAACACAGGAGGCGAAGTCCAGGACTTAATCCAAGGGCTGAGCATGCATATATAAATTCATGGAGGAGATCAAAAAATCCCTCCATTTGAACAAGAATGTTGCCCTAAGTCATTTCTGGTGACTTACGCATCTTTGCTGAAGTGCTGGGTCTAGTCTGAAGTGAGCTTGGGGAGGGTGGGAGTTTTGCTGAGGGAAGAAACTAACACGGCATCAAAATCCTACTTAGGGTACAGAATGTTCTGTGTACTAGAAAAGGTACATGAGACTGTGCGTGGAGATTCACACCTGTAATTCCAGCACTTTGTGAGGCCAAGGCCGGTGGATCAGCTAAGGTCAGGAGTTCGAGACCAGCCTAGACAACATGGTGAAACCCTGTCTGTAGTAAAAATACAAAAATTAGCCAGGCATGGTGGCGGGTGCCTGTAATCCCAGCTACTTGGGGGGCTGAAGCAGGAGAATCGCTTGAACCTGGGAGGTGGAGTTTGCAGTAAGCCAGGATTTTGCCATTGTACTCCAGCTTGGGCAACAAGAGGGAAGCTCTGTCTCAAAAAATAAAAGAAAAAGGAAAGGAAAGGGGAAAGGAAGAGAAGAGAAAAGAAAAGAAAAAAGGAAAGAAAAGAAAAGAGGAGGGAAGGGGAGGGGAGGGAAAAGAAAAGAAAGGGAAAAAAAGTATCTGACATTTAAGATGATTTTTTTTTTCTTTTCTGTTTAAAGTAAAACACTGAATAGCAATCAGAGTATTTAGAAGGACGCTGTGATGGAGGGAAAAGAATGCGGGCTTCAGAGGTTACCTGGGGCCTCTGAGCTCAGCCATGACCCTTGCCCTAGATGCTGGTCTGGAGGGTGGCCTCCACCTGACTTGTTTGTCCTGGGTCCAAACCCCGTCAGCCAGGAAGAGCCATAAACCCGGCACGCTCTAGAGCAAAAGCAAGTCTTTACTGTGGGAGAGATGACCAAATCGGGTAGATTCCTCCCACCTACCAGTCCTCTTCAGGATCTAAGTCCTTTGTTGGGGTGAAGGTTTCCTATGTGTGGTGGAGGTGATTTTATTTGCCTTCCTCCCGCTCTTGGAAGAAAGGCAGCGGAGTAGCACTCAGAACAGGAAAGCCCAAGCAGGGTTTTTTTTTCTTTCTTTCTTTCCTTTTTTTATTTAAAAAAAAAAAAAAAAAAGAAAAAAGACGGGGGTCTCACTGTGTTGCTCAGGCTGGTCTTGAACTTCTGGCCTCACGTGATCCTCCCACTTCAGCCTCCCAAAGTGCTGGGATTACAAGCATGACCCACTGTGCCAGGCCAAGATTTTTAAAAAATTGTGGTAAAAGACACAAAATTCACCATTTTAACTTATTTTATTTATTTGAGACAAAGTCTTACTCTGTCGTCCAGGCTGGAGTGCAGTGGTGCAATCTCAGCCCCCTGCCACCTCCACCTCCCAAGTTCAAGTGATTCTTGTGCCGCAGCCTCCACAGTAGCTGGGATTACAGGCACATGCCACCATGTCCAGCTAATTTTTGTATTTTTTTTCCTGTAGAGATGGGGTTTCACCACGTTGGCCAGGCTGGTCTCAAACTCCTGACCTCAGGTGATCCACCTGCCTCGGCCTCCCAGAGTGCCGGGATTTCAGGTGTGAGCCACTGTGTCCAGCTTTATTTCAAAGTGTAATTCAGTGGTATTTAGTACATTCACAATGTTGTGCAACCATCGCCGTCACCCCAAAAGGAAATCCTGGACCCTTCAAGCAGTAAATCCCCACTAACCCCTGGAAACCATTCATCTGCTTTCTGTCTCTATGGATTGGCCTGATCTAGATATTTCATATAAGTAGATACAATATGTGGCCTTATGTGGCCTTTTGTGTCTGGCTTTTTTCACTTGGCAACATGTTTTCAAGGCTTATCCATGTTGTAGCATGCATCAGCCCTTCATTCCTGTTTATAGCTAAGTAATATTGCATTGTGTGGATATGCTATGTTTTGCTTATCCATTCAGCTGGTGGACCTTTGGATGGTTTCCACGTTTTGTGCTATTATATATAATGCTGCTATGAATATTCATGGACAAATTTTTGTGAAGAGTGTTCAGTTCTTTTGGATAGAGAGATATCTAGGAGAGGAATTGCTGGGTCATCTGGTAATTCTATGTTGACTTATCCAGCAACTCTGGGTATACTGTAAAACTTTCTAGGAGCTGAGTTTAACTATCAGACCCATTGTTTTGCTGCCATAGCTTGGCCCCCGTTGTCAGTCTTGACTGGTCATACGCCTTGGTGTCTCCTGTTCAAGAGACACTTTGAGGTTCTCGAAAATGCTCAGTTTTCGCTTTCTTCCATTTAAAAACTGTATATAACAAACATCTTTAAGAATCAGGTAGCGGCCAGGTGTGGTGGCTTACACCTGTAATCCCAGCACTTTGGGAGGCTGAGACAGGCAGATTGCTTGAGGTCAGCCTAGTCAACATGGTGAAACCCTGTCTCTACTAAAAATACAAAAATTAGCTGGGCATGGTGGCAGGCGCCTGTAATCCCAGCTATTCAGGAGGCTGAGACAGGAGAATCGCTTGAACCTGGGAGGTGCAGGCTGCAATGAGCTGAGATCACACCACTGCACCCCAGCATGGGCAACAGAGAAAGACTCCATCTCAAAAAATTAAAAAATAAAAAGAATCAGCTAGCAAAGGGGAATAACATGGAAGTGGGTGCCCCATGTCCTCAAAAGTTGACAGCCACAGTCTGACATTCCTCCTTCCTTCAAACTAAAACACTTCCGGATCACAGGCCACAATGTTAAGGGAGGATTTGCCTTGGGGGCTACTTCTTGTAAGGAAGGAAAGCTGCTTCTGGCTTACAAGGGCAGGAGAGTTTCTGTGGGTAGGGTTTCATGAGTATGGAACAGGATGTCCACTTCCTGGGCTAAAGAAGGTGGCTCATGTGGGTGGCTAAATTAGGACTTCAGAAATGACCATAAAAACCACAGATTCTGGTTGGAGTTTAAATTACTTCAAACACACATGAGCGTGCACACACACACGCACACACACCCACCAAGAGTTCAAAACACAAAAGTACAGAAGTTCAGCAGGGTCTAACACACCAGACTACTTCAAATAAAACATGAGTACTGGCAATGATCTTTTGCTGACTTGGGTTTTGCAAAGGCCCCTTCTCAGCCTTCATGGCCTGATTGCAAAATAAGATAGGCATTGGCTCTTTATTTCTGTCCCCATCTCAGAATGCAAACATGAATTCGATCATGACAGAGAGACAGCAACACAGCAGCACTGCCACAATCAAGTACAAAGTTTCCATGTTCCTTTCAGTTCCACATTTCCAGAAATCCCATTTAACACTGTGGATTTCCCTTCAGATTACTATTTTTTTTGTTTGTTTGTTTAAGATGGAGTTTCGCTCTTGTTGCCTAGGCTGGAGTGCTTTGGTGCAGTCTCAGCTCACCACAACCTCCGCCTTCTGGATTCAAGCAATTCTCCTGCCTCAGACTCCAAGTAGCTGGGATTACAGGCATCCACCAGCACGCCTGGCTAATTTTTTTATTTTTAGTAGACACAGAGTTTCGACATGTTGGCTAGGCTTGTCTCTAACTCTTGACCTCAGGTGATCTGCCCACCTTGGCTTCCCAAAGTGTTGGGATTACAGGCATGAGCCACTGTGGCTGGCCACTTTTTCTATTTTTTTTTTTTTCAAATAAATTTTTACAAGAAAATAGAGATGGAGTTATTCCATGTTGCCCAGGTTGGTCTTGAACTCCTGGACTCAAGCGATCCACCCACCTTGGCCTTTCAAATTGCTAGGATTACAGGTGTGAGCCACTGTACCTGGCCCATTTTTGAAAACATTTTTGTAGAGATGGGGTCTTGCTCTGTTGCCCTGGCTGGAGGGCAGTAGCCTAATCATAGCTCACTGTAGCTTGAACTCCTGGGCTCAAGAAATCCTCTTGCCTCAGCCTCCTGAGTAGCTGGGACGACAGGTGTGCACCACCACACCTGGATAATTCTTTATTTTTTTGTAGAGATGAGGTCTTGCCATGTTGTCCTGGATGGTCTTCAACTCCTAGCCTTAATCGATCCTCCCACCTCAGCCTCCCAAAGTGCTGGGTGTGTGCCACCATGCCCAGCAAATTCTTGTATTTTTAGTAAAGATGGGTTTTACCATGTTGGTCAGGCGGTATTGAACTCCAGACCTCAAATGATCCACCCACCTCAACCTCCCAAAGTGCTGGGATTACAGGCATGAGCCACCGCACCTGGCCCACATTTTCTCTTGAATGAACAAGTCAGTCTCAGGCCTCAAGTCTCTCCCCACCCTCCATGATGTGGATCCATAGTGATTCTGATCTGTCCCTTCCACTGCTCAAAAACCTCCCATTGTCCACAAAATAAGGCCCAAACTCCCAAGGGTGACCATTCAAAGTCTTCTGAGTTGGCTGCTGGACTTTTTTCCAGTCTTACCACTCATGATTATCTGATGTTATCATTATTATAATGATACTGATGTGGTCATTATTCGTATTTAAAGGTATACCCTGGCCAGGCATGGTGGCTCATTCCTGTAATCCCAGCACTTTAAGAGGCTGAGGCAGGCGGATCACCTGAGGTCAGGAGTTTGAGACCAGCCTGACCAACGTGGAGAAACCCCATCTCTACTAAAAATACAAAAAAATGACCTGGGTGTGGTGGCAGGTGCCTGTAATCCCAGCTACTCGGGAAGCTGAGGCAGGAGACTCACTGGAACCCAGGAGGCGGAGGTTGCAGTGAGCGGAGATTGCCCCACTGCACTTCAGCCTGGGTGACAAGAGCGAGACTCCATCTTGAAAAAAAGAATTCCTGGGGTGATTTTGTTGCACGGCCAGATTTGGGAACCACTGGATGGAACGTGATACAGTCCTCTAAATATTAACCTAAATATCCATTTATTGAGCACCTGGTAAATGTCTGGGTCTGTCCCAAGAACTTTAACAATTTTGTACTATTTAAGCCTCATAAAAACCCTATGACACAGATACTATTATTATTATTCCTATTTTACAGATGAAGAAAATTAGGTAGAGAGGTTAAGTAATTTGCTTAAGGTCACATAGTGAGTGGTAAAAGCTGGGTCTGAAAACAAGCAACTGGGCTCTGGGCCCACGAGTGTAACCACTGAGCTATACCTGCCCATACAAATTCTGCATATAAAGTCACTGGCACTCCATGGTGATTAGTCAGTAATTGCTGTCATTCTTGCTTTTGTTCCAGTCTCACCCATCTCAGAATTCAGCTCAATTTCTACCTCTTCCATCATGTTTCCTCTGACTCCCTCTCTTCTTTTCTCAATGTAATCCTAAGTCCTTCAGAAGTGTATTAGACTTTTGGATTGTCTTTTATTTCTGTATTTTTGTTATTATCCTCATTATATTTGTGAGGTCATTCAGAGTAGGGTCACACGGTGTTTATCTTTCTATTCCTGGTACATTTGTTGACCTGAATTTAACGTTTTCCTAAATGTGCGATAAGCAGAATCACCAAATATCTTTGTTCTATTTTTTTGTTTTGAGACTGAGTCTCGCTCTCAGTCTCCCAGACTGGAATGCAGTGGCGCGATCTCAGCTCACTGCAACCACTGCCTTCCAGGTTCAAGCAATTCTTCTGCCTCAGTCACTGAGGAGCTGGGATGAAAGGCGCCCACTACCATGCCTGACTAATTTTCTTCTATTTTTAGTAGAGATGAGATTTCACTGCGTTGGCCAGGCTGGTCTCAAACTCCTGGTCTGAAGTGATCTACTTGCTTCAGCCCTTACAAAGTGCTGAGATTATAGGAATGAGCCACTGCTCCCGTCCCCAGATTTGTTTAAAAGGAGCTATCTGATTGGGAGATAACAGAGAATCACAGAACTTGGATTGCCTTTTCCCTTGGGTTAGAAAATGCAAAACCACACTCCTGAACTTTTTTCTGACTGGAAAGGGATGAACTATCTTAATGTCTTAGGGGTCTTTCAGGCTTGTCCCTGCAGGCTAGGGGAAACCACACTACTGGCATACTTGATTTCTCAATGCAGCTGTCACCTCCTGTCTCACTGCCTCCTGTAAGGCCTGTGTTTGCTTTACCTGGGCTTGCTCCACTGGTTGCAAGACTACCAGATCATAATCAGTCATTATCTCCCATCCTGATATGTGAAATTTGTTGACTGAATTTAACATTTTCCTAAATGTGCTATACACAGAATCACCAAATTTCTTTTTTCTTTGAGACGGAGTTACGCTCTGTCTCTCAGACTGGAGTGCAGTGGCGCAATCTCAGCTCACTATAACCACTGCCTTCCAGGTTCAAGCAATTCTCCTGCCTCAGCCTCCCAAATAGCTGGGATTCCAGGTGCCTGCCACCATGCCCAACTAATTTTTTTATATTTTTAGTACAGACGAGGTTTCACTATGTTGGTCAGGCTGGTCTCCAACTCCTGGCCTGAAGTGATCTGTTTGCCTTAAGACAGAATTTGTGGGGCCCAGTGCAAAATGAAATGTAGGGCTTCTGTTTAAAATTTATTAATAATTTAAAGATGATAACAGCAGAGCATTAAACCAAGGAGGGGGCCCCATCCACTACATGGGTCCCACACCCATGAAGCCAGTCTGATGAAAAAAGGGTTAGGCTGGAAGCGGCAGCTCACACCTGTCATCCCAGCACTTTGTGAGGCTGAGGCAGGCAGATCACTTGAAGTCAGGAGTTTGAGACAAGCCTGGCCAATGTGGTGAAACCCTGTTTCTACTAAAAATTCAAAAACTAGCCAGGCGTGATGGCCCATGCCTATAGTTCCTGCTACTTGGGAGGCTGAAGCAGGAGAATTGCCTGAACCCTGGAGGTGGAGGTTGCATTGAGCCGAGATTGTGCCACTGCACTCCAGCCTGGGCAACAAGAACAAGACTCCATCTAAAAAAAAAACCCCCAAAACAAAAAAAGGTCAGAGCCTTCTCAGCAGACCAAAACCAATCACAGAAAACTGTGTGTGGAGACAATTTATTTCCAAAGCCCTCAACCTCTCATCTTAATATGAAGACAGCTGAGAAAGAAACCACTCTAGGTCGGGTGTGGTGGCTCACACTTGTAATCCAAGCACTTTGGAGGCCAAGGCGGGTGGATCACCTGAGGTCGGGAGTCCAAGAAACAACCCTGCATTCTGTGTTATATCAAGGTTGACTATTGCAGGCTGAATTGAGTCCTCCAAAGAGATGCTGAAGTGCTAACCTGTGAATGTGGCAGTACTTGGAAATAGGGTCTTTGCAGATGATCAAGTTAAGATGAGGTTACTAGTGTGGGTTCTAATTCACTATGACTGGTACTCTTCTGAAAAGAGGACATGTGGACATGCAGCCAGCCATGACCACAGGGAAAATGATGTGAAGAGACCCACACAAGGAGAACCCATGAGAAGATGAAGGCAGGTTGGGGTGATGTTTCTACATGCCAAGGAATGTCAAAGAGTGCCAGCAAACCACCAGGATAGGAGAGGGGCCTGGAAAATTCTCCCTCAAGGCTCAGAAGGAACCAACCCCGCCGACAGCTTGATCTCAGACTTCCAGCTTCCAGAACCAAGACAATAAACTTCTGTTTCTTAAGCCAGCAGTCCCCAACCTTTTTGGCACCAGGAACCAGTTTTGTGGAAGACCAGGGGTAGGGTGGGGGGATGGTTTTAGGATGACTCGAACTTTACATTTAATGTGCACTTTATTTCTATTATTACATGGTAATATATAATGAAATAATTATACAACTCACCATAATGCAGAATCAGTGGGAACCCTGAGCTTGTTTTCCCACAACTAGACGGTCCCATTGGGGGATGATGGGAGACAGTAACACCCAAAGTATGTTGCTTATGTTGAGTCTACTCATTTTGGTTGTTGTCACTGCAGAAAACCCTGCTTCACAGAGACAGGATGTTGCAATAGGCCAGGCATGGTGGCTCACACTTGTAATCCCAGCACTTCTGGAAACCAAGGCAGGTGGATCACTTGAGGCAAGGAGTTCAAGACCAGCCTGACCAACACAGCAAAACATCATCTATCTCTACTAAACATACAAAAAAATATATAGTCAAATGTGGTGGTGCATGCCTGTAATCCCAGCTACTCAGGAGACAGAGGCATGAGGCATGAGAATCCCTTGAACCAGAGAGGCAGAGGTTGCAGTAAGCCGGGATTGTGCCATTGCACTCTAGCTGGGTGACAGAGTGAGACCTTGTCTCAATAAAAAAAAAAAAAAAAAAGGATATTGGAAATGGAAGCAGGCTTTTCAGTGCTTTTGTGACCATCTCAGGATTCTCTGCCTAGACTTTAATCCAGAACATGTGGAGATTTGAAGTTGTCTCAAACATACTTTGAAGGCCACCAGATGCAGCTGTACAACTGAAGTACAACCACTCACTGGCCACTATAAAGTCTGCCACCAGATGCATCTTGTCACTTGCCACTCACTGATAGGGTTTTGAGGGGAGTCGGCAAGCAATTGATTTATGTTGGTCTCTGTGCAGTGAAACCTCTCTGCTAATGTTAGTCGTATCTGCAGCCACTCCCAGCACTAGCATCTCCACCTCAGCTCCACTCCCATCACCAGTCAGTAAATTCTTGTACCGAGCACAATCTGGTTCCCTCGAATGCACAGTTCACGATAGGGGCCATCTCCTATGAGAATCTAATATCCCCTGATCTAACAGGAGGCAGAGTTCAGGTGGTAACGCAGCAATAGGGAGCAGCTGTAAATACAGATGAAGCTTTGCTCACCTTCTGCGGTGCCACCTGGTTCCTAACAGGTCGGGGACTCTTAGGGGTCCGTGGCCTGGCGGGGCGCTGGGGACCCTGTCTTACCCCATCCAGTTTGTGGCACTTTGTTATGGCAGCTGCAGCAGATGAACAGGCCCACCAACCAGATCAGGCTCCTTCTGTTGCCTTCCTGCCCTTGACAAGCTCCTGACGACACCTGAAAAAACAGACGTCCCAAGGGGGTTGGAACAAGGAGGGGGCCGGGGCAATGTCAGTTTTGTTTTTCAATATTTTTTTTTTTTTTTTTTTTCCTACAGAGGAGGAGGGAATGCCTACAATAGAGAGGCCTTTGTGGTCCCACTTCAGGAATCAGAGAACCCTGCCCTCCTCGTCTCGGCCCCAATTAAAGGGTGCATGTGTATCTTACAAAGTGATGCCCTTTTGGCAGGGACTCCCAGTGTGAGCAGGGCTGTGGCTGACTTGTCAATCATCATATAGGTTATGTCCCAAACGTGCAAGTCAGAAGCCCACGGAAATTGGCAACAGCTGCCTGGATGCCTCCATCCTCCCAGCCCAAGGAAGATCAGGCCTCCCTCCTTCGTTGTCCTTCCTATGAGCACGTGACATTCTCCTGGGTGGACTTGCACAACGGGTTGCCCAGCTGTTCTTTGAGGGTCAGGTGGAGAGTCTTCCCCTATAGGACGGGCTTCCCCGGGAGGTTTCCATGTGGGGCCACCTGAGGCAGGAAAAGGAGAAGTGGACACTGGCACCTGGGGTGAAAAAGGGCGGGGGTGCAGCTTTGTGAGGAAACAATTTGAGGAGACTGCTAAACTGGGGTCTGCTGGGATACACCGCTCCCACCCCCTGCCTCGGGCGCCCTCAGTCACCCGAGCTGGGGGCCCCTCAAGTCTCAGGCCAAGCCCTCGCGCGCTTAGCGCGGGCCGCAGCGCACCCAAACATGGCCGCCAAACCCAGGTTCCCGGGGCGCAGCCGAGCCTGAGGGTGACGCAGCGGCGGCGGGTTGCATCAGCCCGCGCCCACGTGCTTGGTCCGCCCTCTGCCTCCCGGATCCGGACGCCGATTGGGCCACGTTGGGACAGTGTCTCCGCCTCAGCCAATGGGCAGCAGCCACAGAGGGTTCTGTCCGCAGAGCCAAGCGCGGGGAGCCCATAAAAGGCTCCCGAGAGTGGGGCGCGTGCCCCAGGGACGCCAACAGTCGTTGCGGAGTTTGCGGGCGGGTGCGACACCGCCTCTTGGCACCTCGGAGCGCAGCTGAGCCCCGACACAGCCGCCGCCATGGAGTCCGAGCCCGATCCCGAGCCCGTCACGCTCCTGGTGAAGAGCCCCAACCAGCGCCACCGCGACTTGGAGCTGAGCGGCGATCGCAGCTGGAGCGTTGGCCACCTCAAGGCCCATCTGAGCCGCGTCTACCCTGAGCGTCCGGTGAGAGCCGCCCCGACTTCCCGCCCCGAGGCTGTGGCCCCCAGTGCCGCCGCGTCCGCCTGCCCTGCCCTGTGGCCTCCCCCTCCGCCGGCCTTCCCTAGACGGCTGCGTTCGCCGGGTCGGTCACGTGCCCCAGGGCTGTGGTCTCCCCTTCCCTGCCCCGCCGCCGCGGGCGCCCCTCTCTTGCCCAGGGACCGTCACTAATCAGCAGCCTGACCTTAGGCGAGTCGTTTCACCCTCCAAGCCTGCTTCCCCCCAGCGGTCAGGCAACTCGGTGGTTCCTAACTGGGCTTGCACCCAACGGCTAGGAGTAAGAAAACATCCGTGCTGAAAATGAGGGTTGTGAACGCAACCTCCCCGCGGGAGAGAAGCGGGCAGGTGCCACCCGGAGCGGTGGCTTGAGAAACCTGGGGAGCACCCAGACACTGTGGACGGAAGGGCCCACACCCAGAAGCAGGACGTGGCTCTTCTCCCTGTCTACCTTCCGCCGGGCCCCTCCCTGTCGCACTGGACCGCGCAGCCGTTGCCGAGTCCCGGGGAGGAGCCCCGTGCACTTTCTGGCCAAGTGCGACTGAGAAGGGAAGCAGGCAGTAGTCGCCTTCAGTCTGGTTTTAGGACGGCAGCCTCTCCATTATTAGCGAGACTTCTTTGCTTTGTTTTGGTTGACGCATCTGTCAACATCACCCTTAGCACCGCCTGCCCTGGCCGCCACGTGATGAGGCTGTAAGCTGGCCCTTCCTGTATTTACTTTCTGCTCCGATATTATGTAAGTGTCAGCAGTGTTCTTCACTGCCCACGAGCATAATTCTCTATCACACAGGAGAGGGCATCCAGGCAGGAAAAGATCGTGTAACCCGAGTTCCAACTTTTGGTTGGAACTCACCTGTGTCTGTTTTTGTTCCATGTGGTCAAGAAGGTAGAAGTGAGTTTTCCTTCTGAGTTGTTGTTTTGAAATTTGCATATCGATTTAGTACGCGTGTATTCCATGTCCTGTGGAATTCACCCTGGTACACTTTTCGGTTTCACCAGAGCTGCGTCCAGAAACTGGGTGGCTGTGTTGCCATGAGAATGTCTGTTGGGTACACAAATTGGTGAAGCAGGTGTTGCCTATGGTTGCATCATATGGTAAAAGGCAGGGTTTCGGAGAAGGGTTTTTCTTAAGGGCTTGCTTTGGTGACGGACGCCACTCCCATCTCTTCAGTCTAAAGACCTAAGATTGTAAATAAATATCTCTCAGGTATACAAATTTGTGTCTAAAAATTATTATGGCTGAAACATATTTATCACTTGTTTTCTGTGGTAGAAAATGGTATACTGTGAGAAGCCCTACTTTGTAATAGTTGTGCTTAATTTTTTCTCAAATCAGCCATTTGAGTGAAGACTCAGTGTCAAGTTAGGCCTTTAAAAAGGGTGGAAATAATTCAAAATCACTGGCAGCTGTGGTTTTCAAGCCTTTTCTAGTGGTTGAACTCTAATAAACACAGAGCCATACATATCTAATAGATACTGTTTTACAAATTCATATATACGCATGTACCTTTAACATTCTCACCTGTCAGTGAGAAAAACGGTGAACCCAGCATTCAGTATATTTTGGTTTAGTTACAGTGTCAAAAAGTCCTGATGTATATGGATAAGTAGATGGACTTTTGGCTTTGTTTGTTTTAAACAGCTTGCTTTAATTATCTCAAGCTGTTGGCAGGAACACCTTTATTCCAGGTTTTGCATAATCAGTTATCCTGGCAAGAGTAGGTATACACGTTGCTGATCTCCAATGGACAGACAGATTATATGTTAATATTTGAGGCCATTATTTTTAAGTACAGTTTAGAGGGAGTTTCAAAGAGATTTTTAAAATGAGATTTGTATAAAAGAATGTGCAGTCCCTATGGCATTAAAATCGCTGATATGGAGGAGAAGAGGGTTTGGAATTGTGACACTGGCAGCAGATGACCTTGGAAAAGTAAATTTTTCAGACTTTCCTCCCTTAAAATAGGGATACTGAATCTCACAGGGTTGTTGTATATAATGTCACCCACACACCATTTCCTCTATAACTGCATTTGTATGCCAAGAAATCCTCTATAAAGGCTTAAGTTTAGAATAGCTTCATATTATTCTGGGGCACTGCTAGGTGATTTTGGTGAAGGCTGGCCTTGGGAGTACTCTGAGTTTTTCCTGAAACCAAACTCAGTTGCTGTAGGAGCCCTGTTCGCTGTTTGTTGTTGTTATGAAAATCAGTTTACATGGGAGTTAAGAAGTATGTTGCCCTACATAGGTTTGGACTGGAGATAATTTACCTGTTTTTTTTTTTTTTTTTTTTTGATATAGGGTCTCTCTCTGTACAATTCCCCTGTCTCAGCCTCCCGAGTAGCTTGGATTACAGGTGCAAGCCACCATGCCCAGCTAATTTTTACATTTTTAGTAGAGGCAGGGTTTCACCATGTTGGCCACTCTGGTCTCGAACTCCTGACCTAAGGTGATCTGCCCACCTTGGCCTCCCAAAGTGCTTGGAGTATAGGCATGAGCCACTGTACCCAGCCGATAATTTGCCATTCTGTATTTATTTGCATGTTAGAGACCGGTTAAAGTTAGGTACTTTCTAAATAGAAGTTTTGTATATGGAGCCTTTGAAAAAGTGTTTTCCCGTGATGCTGGGGTGAAACATACATATTCAAATTATTTGTATAAAACAGTTTATTTTGAGTGTTTGAGAACTTCTGGGAGTGAAATGCTGACCTTTGTTACTCTTTCTTTCCATGGTCAGCATCCAGAGGACCAGAGATTAATTTATTCTGGCAAGCTGTTGTTGGATCACCAATGTCTCAGGGACTTGCTTCCAAAGGTACATCACCTAAACATTAATTTCTGCATGTTTTTAAGCACTCACCAGGTTAGGTTCAGGTCCTTAAGTAACTTCTTTTTACTTTTAGCAGGAAAAACGTCATGTTTTGCATCTGGTGTGCAATGTGAAGAGTCCTTCAAAAATGCCAGAAATCAGTGCCAAGGTGTGTCTGCTTCTTCATGATGATAACAGTTTGCATCATTCAGACTTAAGGAGTTGGATAAAACTGTTATTGAGAGACTGTATGGTGTTATTACCAAGTAATATTTTGATTCTTTCCTAGGAATTAGAGACTGTATTATCAACACACGTGATGGGTTAATGTAGCAAAGTGTTCCATTAGCACTGTGGTAGAAAAGTGGACTTACATATTGCACTATCTTCTGGGATGTCATCTGATCTATGGTTATTACGTATCTAGATTACTGAACTAACACTAATTGGGTTTTTATTGAATTTAGCACATAGCGAGGTTTCTTCAAAGAACCATTAATTTTTTTTTTTTTTTTTTTTGAGACGAAGTCTTGCTCTGTCACCCAGCCTGGAGCGCAATAGCATGATCTCTGCTCACCACAACTTCTGCCTCCTGGGTTGAAGCAATTCTGCAGCCTCAGCCTCCAGAATAGCTGGGATTATAGGCACATGCCATCATGCCTTGATAATTTTTTGTATTTTTAGTAGAGATGGGGTTTCACCATGTTGGCCAGGGTGGTCTCAAGCTCCTGACCTCGTGATCTGCCCACCTTGGCCTCCCGAAGTGCTGGGATTACAGGTGTGAGCCACCACATCTGGCTGGAGCCATTAATTTTATAAAGAGTATAAAAGTGAATATATTTTCTTTGGAAATTTTCATTGTAATTAGTTGGATAGGAAAAGGTCAGAGTCTTTATCAAGTGATCCATAAAGAATTTTTCTTTTAAATTGGTCTCACTTTGTTGCCCAGGCTTTTCTCAACCTCCTGAGGGCAAGCGATCCTCCCACCTCAGCCTCCTGAGTAGGGCATGTGCCACTGGACCTGGCTTTAAAGACTCATATGTGACAGACAAAAGCATTTATTTTTCATTTTACAATGTTTATTCACATATATGGTATTAGTATTCTAATGGAGTGATGCATTCTAAATTTGTATTATATTTCCTAAAATATTTGAACAGAGCATAGGAAATTCCCTATTTTGCCATTATCAGATCTAACAAAAATCTTAAAGGCACTTTGTTTCATTTTCATGCACTGTAAATTTTTAAAGATGATCAAAAACAGTATCATATCAAGACTGACTTGTATTGGAATACTATTTTAGAAAGTTGTGGGCTGGGTTATATTTATAAATCTTGTTGGTCAAATTTCTGTGATGAGCAAACTTAACAGCATCATCAGAAAGCTTTCTCACCAATGATAACTTCATTGGAAGCTTTTAATGAAAGTGTAGCATAGTTACTCTAGGGAAAGATAGGAATATTTTAGTATCTATGTATTGAAAATTGTGTTGACTAAATGTCAGAATATTTTTTACATAACAATGCTTCTATTTAATATTGTCATGTTCAGAGGTGGAGGGTAGGAGACATAAGCCATTGACAGCAAAATAATTTTTTTCGCTTGATTTCAGACAGTTGCATCAGCTCCTTTGTTCTGTGTTCATGTTACACTTGTTTAGGTGGCTGAATCCACAGAGCAGCCCACTGGTTTTAATCAGGGACAGTATCCTGGGGATTCCTCAAGTGATGATTTAAGGCAAAGGGAAGTTTTTCGGAACCTTTCTTCCCCTGGATGGGAAAACATCTCAAGGTGAGCGTTATAATAACTTGGACCGTACAACATGAGTGTGCCTCATTTGCATCAATTTAAGAATAAGGTGTGTTTACACGTATATAATCAGAACTTTTAAATGTATAGAATTTTGCTTTATAAGTAGCTTCACTTTAAAGAGCTCCTATATTTAACTTAATACACAGACTTTTAGTATACACAAATTTTAAAAGTTGGCAATGCATATATTGAAAAAAGAAAATGTAGGCGTTTTATCCTTCCATTGTGCTGACCACTTGGCTGCTGTCATGATAGGAAATTAGTGCTGCTGCAGGAAGAAACAGCTGTTGTAAGCATCGTGCAGCTGCTTTGCTAAGTGGCTTTGTGCTTTATTCTAACAATGGGTGACCACAAGGGAGAAACTGTTTAAGAAGTGTTCCTCCAAAGACTTGGGGGCACTAGGAAAATTGGCCATCTCTTTATAACTACTAAAGCTTTTTCTCTAGAGCAAAAGTCAGAACTAAATGCTCTGTTATTTGGATTTTTCTAACTCTTGGAATACCTTGTTTTATGAAAGTACTTTTGGGGAAAAAATTTGTTAACCACATGTTGAAATTCTGTAACTCTCCAATTACCTGTCCCCCTTTTCCTAGTAGTTTTTATATGCAATATTTTCTAAAGCCAGGTGTTTTAGGAATTTATTTTTTTTCCCCCTTAATGGAACTTTCAAATATACAAATATACACAACAGTGGGGACTGTATCATTAATACCCACACCATCCACCCAGGCCTAAGAAATAATGTTCAGAGTTTTACCATATCTCATCTATTACCCTTTCCCTTTTTTTTTTTAAGTATTTAAAGGTAATTCCTAGACATTATTTCATCCCTGTATACTTCAGTATATAACTGTAAAAACCTTTTCGTTATCTTGTGTATCTAGAATGCCATTATCAAATCTAACAGAAACCTTAAAATCACTTTATCATTTCATTTCTATGCATTGTAGTTTTCTTAAATGATCAAAAACAGTGTCATACCAAGGATGACTTGTATTGGAATACTGTTTTAGAAATACTCTGTATGGACTTTAGTTAAAAGATTGT